TCCGAGCTGGAAAGCCCACCACTTGTCCTCTCGACCCGTGCCCGTCCTGGCTGATTAGAGCGTGTCCAGACGAGGTGCGGGCCCCCCTGGGGGATATCATCAATTTGTCCCTTGGCACCGGGACATTCCCAGGGGAACTGAAGGAGGCAGTGGTGCGCCCGCTTTTAAAGAAAACATCATTAGATCCCTTAGATCTATCCAATTACCGCCCGGTTTCGAATCTTCCATTCCTGGGTAAGGTGATTGAGAGAGCGGTTGCGGAACAGCTTGGTAGGTTTCTGGATGAAACATCGGCTCTGGATCCATTCCAGTCCGGCTTCCGCGCTGGTCATGGGACCGAGACGGCTCTGGTCGCCTTAACAGATGATCTCCGTAGGCAGCTGGATCGAGGCGGGTCGGGGCTGCTGATTCTTCTAGACCTGTCAGCAGCCTTCGACATGGTCGATCACGAACTCCTGGACCACCGCCTTGCCGACGTGGGGATCCAGGGCACAGCCCTTCAATGGCTACGCTCGTTTCTCTCTGGTCGGGGACAGAGGGTGGTGCTTGGGGGGGGGAATTGTCATCCCGCCACTCCTTGGTGTGTGGAGTGCCTCAGGGTGCGATTCTCTCCCCGATGCTTTTTAACATCTTTATGCGCCCCCTTGCCCAGCTTGTCCGGAGTTTTGGGCTGGGCTGCCATCAGTATGCTGATGACATCCAACTCTATCTGTTGATGGATGGCCATCCTGACTCGGCCCCAGACACACTGATCAGATGCTTGGAAGCTGTGGCTGGATGGTTACGTGGGAGCCGGTTGAAGTTAAATCCTTCGAAGACAGAGGTCCTCTGGCTGGGACGGGACGATATGAGATTGAGGGGGCAACTCCCTTCTCTTGCGGGGGTGCAATTAGTGCCAGCACCGTCCGTTAAGAGTTTGGGTGTAATCTTCGATACCTCCCTCTCCATGGAGGCGCAGATTGCAGCTATAACAAAGGCGGCATTTTTTCATCTCCGCCAAGCTAAGCAGTTGGCTCCTTACCTCTCTCGCCCTGACCTAGCCACTGTGATCCACGCGACGGTCACCTCCAGACTGGATTATTGTAACTCGCTCTACGTGGGGCTGCCCTTGAGACTGACCCAGAAACTCCAGCGGGTGCAGAATGCCGCAGCGAGACTCCTTACGGGGTCTTCGCTGCGAGATCACATTCATCCGGTGCTATACCAGCTGCACTGGCTCCCGGTGGAGTACAGGATCAGGTTTAAGGTGCTGGTTTTAACCTTTAAAGCCCTATACGGCCTAGGACCCTCGTACCTACGGGACCGCCTCTCCTGGTATGCCCCACAGAGGAACTTACGGTCTTCAAATAAAAACATCTTGAAGGTCCCAGGCCACAGAGAGGTTAGGCTGGCCTCAACTAGAGCCAGAGCTTTTTCGACTGCGGCTCCAACCTGGTGGAATGCCCTGTCGCAAGAGACAAGGGCCCTGCAGGACTTGACATCTTTTCGCAGGGCCTGCAAGACAGAGCTGTTCCACCAGGCCTTTGGTCAGGGCGCAGCCTGACTCCCTCCTTTGGCAATCTCTACAAAGCTTTAGTCTATGGTTGCCATCAATTTGTATTTTAATTAATTTTTAGAATGTATTTATAATGTTGTACTGTTTTAGTGTTGTTAGCCGCCCTGAGCCCGGCTTCGGCTGGGGAGGGCGGGATATAAATAAAATTTATTATTATTATTATTATTAATGACCGCCTCTTTCAGCGGGTCTGGGAAGGCTCCCTCACAGAGGGAAGCATTCACCACCCCGCAGAGCCCATCGCCCAGCCCTTCCCGGCTCGCTTTTATCAGCCAGGATGGGCAAGGATCAAGGAGACAGGTGGTCGGTTTCACTTTTCCAAGCAGCCTGTCCACATCCTCGGAGGTAACAGACTGGAATTGATCCCATGTAACAGGACCAGACAGAACTCTAGCACTCTCCCGCCCTGGCCCTGCTCCCACGGTGGAGTCTACCTCCTTCTGAATCTGAGCGATTTTATCTGCAAAAAACTTTGCAAAAGCATTGCAGGAGATCTTGGGGTCCCTACCAGGCCCCGGTGGTACAGGTGGTTTCCGATAGATTGCGAACCACCTGAAAAAGTCTCCTGCTGCTGTTTTCTGCAGATGCAATGGAGGCGGCGAAGAAGGCCCTCTTCGCCGTCGTCATTGCCACTTGGTAGGCTCGACATTGAGCTCTAACCCGTGTCCGGTCTGATTCAGAATGAGTTTTCCGCCACCGGCGCTCTAGCCGTCTCAACGATTGTTTCATCACCCTCAGCTCCGGGGAAAACCACAGGGCTGTCCGGGCTCCATGCAATCGGAGAGGGCGCTTCGGAGCCAGACAGTCAATAGCCCTGGTTAACTCCGCATTCCAGCGTGCCACCAGGGAATCAGCTGAAAGGCCATCAACTTGGGATAAAGCATCCCCTACCACTCTCTGGAAGCCAATTGGATCCATTAAGTGGCGGGGGCGGACCATCCGAATCGGTCCCACCTCCCTACAGAGGGGAAGGGTTGCGGAGAAGTCCAGTTGCACCAGGAAGTGATCTGACCATGGCACTTCTTTTGTTTCGCTTTTAGTTAGTGTCAGATCACCAACATCCATAGAGGTGAACACCAAGTCTAAGGCATGTCCATGGCTATGAGTTGGGCCAAACTTATTCAGGGACAGCCCCATGGAGGCCATGCTTTCCACGAAGTCCCGAGCGGCCCCTTGTAAGGTCGTGTCGGCATGGATGTTAAAATCCCCCAGGACAACCAAGCTAGGTGTCTCCAGGAGCATATCCGCCACGACCTGACGGATATGCTCACTTGCCAACTACTTGATAGACCTGACGGAGCCCAATTTGAGAAGAGCGTTTACCATGGCCCGTTTCCATTCTATACCCACGGCCTTCTAGCAGGGGATTTACACTAAGACCCCTATTACTCAGCGTCTATGCCCATGCACAATGAATGAAGTAGAGGACTTCATACATTTCTTTTTCTACTGCCCTATATATGAGCTAATAAGAACTAAGCTCCTCCTCTTGATCCCGTCCACCATCACATCTAAGGAAGACTGTTTGAAATCGCTTCTTGTGGACGCAAATCCCCAAATTACACGTGGGGTGGCAATCTTTATAGTGCAGGCTTGGAAACTCAGGGCTTCTCTGACTGGGTAGTGTGTTCTAGACCTGGACCTGTTTTAATTCTTTTATAACCTTTTAACCTAATGTGCCGAGCCTATTTTGGGCCAATATATGCTTTTATACAGCTCCATTTTAGACTCCTGGCGTTGGCAACTAAATTTTTACATTATTGTCTTAGGGTAATTTTCAATGTCATCACGCCAGTATTATCGCTTTGAATTTTGTTTGGTTGCTTGTCTCTAGCATTTTTGTCTTATCCTGCTATGGCTGTATGCTAATGCAATAAAGGTTTGATTGATTGACCCGGAAAAATTGTCTGTGGACCAACGTCAGCTCCCTCGGCCAGTAAAGCCAATGAGTGGCGCAACCCCAGAGCCGTGACTGGACTTAACTGTCAGGGGTCCTTAACCTTTTTAAAAGCACTGCACACTGCCATGCGATGTGAAAGTGCTTCATCTTATCAATGGTCACAACTCCTGAAATGAATGGATGGCTCCAATGCTCCATTTGCTGCCTTCCTTCAAACATTAACATTGGTGTATGTTCTAAGATGTTTCAAATAGTCAAAAAGATGACAGCTTTTAATTCCTCTGAATTTGATATCTACTTTAGATTTTTAAAGGCTGGCTCCCAAAGTTATTTCAGGTGAAATAGATGGATTTAGGCCCATTCATTGCTTGGCCGAATGTTAATCACACACACACACACTTCAGTGGAAACTGCATGCAGCTGAGCAGCTCACATTCGGAGCATCAACACAGAAAGGAACAGGAAGGAAGCAACACAAATATTTTGACTGAAGTGTCTTAGGAAAGCGATTTTAAATCATGGGCACCTAGGTTCTGAAAATGATGTTGCCCGTATTGGTGTGAGTGATGGGGTCCCATGGCACAAATTTCATGTAATCCCAGTGCAAAGGAAAAGAGCTAAGATCTTCTCCCTTACTATAATGTCCAAACAGGATGGGATGGGGAAGAAGGATAGGTTTGTAAGGAGTCTTCAATAATTTTGCCAAGGCAATTCTTATTGTTCAGGGCCTCATGCTATTAGCCTTTCTTGTATATGGAGATCCTTTATGAAATGCATTCAGGACCATCAAACAAATCTGTACTGAGATACACACATCACCATTTTTACTGCTGGAACTGCTCTGAATCTGACTTCAGGAAGAACGTGTTTTAACTGCACAGTGTCCTGGAATAGACACTCTGCATTGGGAAAGAAGGGAACTGAGTTCCCTCCCATTTTCCACTTTCCTGATGTTCCAAATGACCAGTACCTTGGAGTTATGATTTGTGTTGTTGTCAGGATTCTAACTGGCCTGTAACTGACTTAAGAATTCTGCAGAGCAGTTGCTGCTGTGGCTGGCCGGCTGCTCAGGCGAACGTCAGCTCAGTGGCCAACAGCTCAGTCTTCTTGAGGCTCAGGGACACCTAGCAAATACCTGCTCTGTTCCTGGCACGCTAGACTCTAGCTGAGGAAGGCATTTCACGTAAGTTTATGGATTAAACATTCCTCACTATGCCATACCTGAGTTTATGCTCGGTGGAACAGGATAGCTGCAGTAGCAGATAGCAGGACAGCGAAACATGAGCGGCTCCCATCATTCACAACAGGTTGCTGAGGTTCTGGCCATTTTCACAGCAACAGTGCAAGAGTATATTAAATCAGTAGCAGTTTGCTGGAAGAAAGTATGTGTGGATCAGATGTCTATACCTAACCGGGGGGGGGGGGGAGAGCAGGGGAACTCTTTCTTTTGCTGCTTCTTTCTGCGCATGGAAGGATGTCCTTCAATGACTAGACCTGCTTGTTATTCCCTCTCTCACTGCATGTTGTCTTCTCTTTTGTTTCCAGGATGTCTTCCAAGGTCTCCCCTGCTCCCCTCCTCTCCAAACCCCCCCTGCGGGTGAAAGACCTGGTGGTCAAATGGCTGAGTGTAGTTTCCGGTCTCCAGTTGTGTGCATTCCTGATGGATATTATGGCCTGGATGACGTGCATTGCCTCAATAGCCATTGTCAACTGGCGAGTGTGGCGTGTAGAAAACATAAAGGGAATTGGATCTGGAAACATCTGGATCGGAATCTGGAAGGTCTGTTTTTTGAAAGACCCTTCGAACGACGGAAACTATTATTACCATTGTGAAGAGCTCCATGAACAACATCCAAACCTCCCGAGGGAAATTTTTATTGCTCAGGACCTAATGGCCTTAGCTGCCATTATGAATTCAGCGGCCCTTGGATTGCAGTTATTTGCCCTCTGCAATGTGTTGGAGGCCAGAAAACATAAGGATTTTCTCTCAACCTTTTTTGGGCTTGGAGCTCTGCTGAACTTACCAGCAGGGATACTCATCCTGATTTCCGTGATATGGAACATGTCTGCTGTCTTACAAAATGGGGGAATTGACTTCCCTGAAACTTTTGAATTGCCTCAAATTCCCAGCGAGCAGCATATTGGACCTTCTATTTATCTAGGCTATATCGCTGCAGGTTTCCAGCTGCTGAGTGCAGCATTTGTTGGGATGGAGAGATGTTGCATCAGGACCACCGCAACAGATACATCTCAAATAGAAACTGTAGTGGTGGTTACCCCAGGAAGTGCGGTGAAAAGCGAGAGTCTTACTACTTGTTCAAAGTGTGGTTCTCTGCTGGACCTGGTAATTCAAGAGAAATCCTCCGCAGTGGAGATGGAGGAAACCCATGCGGAAGATCTTGTCAAATCCTGCGCAGTTGAGGTGGAGGAAGGCTGTGCAAGTGATCTTGTCATTCCAGAGGAATCCTGCACAGTTGAGATTGAGGAAAGCTGTGCAAGTGATCTTGTCATTCGAAAGGAATCCTGCATAGTTGAAATGGAGGAAAGCTGTGCAAGTGGTCTTGTCATTCCAGAGGAATCCTGCACAGTTGAGATGGAGGAAAGCTGTGCAAGTGATCTTGTCATTCCCGAGGAATCCTGCATAGTTGAGATGGAGGAAAGCTGTTCGAGTGATCTTGTCATTCCAGAGGAATCCTGCGCAGTGGAGATGGAGGAAAGCCCTACACCCAAAGGTTACCTGAAGGACATCAAAGGCCACCTGATGTCCCCAAACATACGATTATACATGTGATTCCCTAGAACAGGGAGTCGTAAACTATCAGATGCAGATCCACGCAGATCTCTCCATGCACACATAGATCTGCGTGGATCAGTACTTCAGTGATTTTGGGACTTCAGGTGGATTTTGGGACTTCAGGTGGGCTTTGATGTCCTTCAGGTGAGGAGGCCTCTTTCTTATGATTTTTTTTTAGTATTTATTTATTCATTAAAGATTTTGTTGATTTACAAAAGTGTGCAATGTCTCTCTCTCATGTTTCCCCCCCATGTAACATTTTTACAAATCACTTTCATTTGTTGAGACATTGGGAAGGAAAGGGGAAAGAGGTGGAGGGGGGGAAAGATGGGTGGGGTCGGGTGGCCTAGGGTGTGGTTATTCATTTGTAGTTGGCTGTGGTGGTCTTTGTTTTCATGTGTGAGTGGGGTGGGTGGGTGTTTTGGATCAGCAACAAATCTACTTATTCCAAGACCTCCCTTAAAGCAGTAGTGGATCACCATGAAGAAGGCGCCACCACTGAGAAGGCCTCTGCCTGGTTCCCTGTAACTTGGCTGCTCCCAGAGATGGGGGGGGTGTCATATTTTTCCCCTTGATTTCCCCCTCTGAAAACTAGGTGCGCCCTATGGTCAGGTGAGCCCTATAGAGTGAAAAACACCGTAATAGTAATTTAGTTAGACCCCGCCCATCCAGCTGGGTTTTCCCCTCTTTTAATTCTAATAGCGCATTCAAATTCTGATATAAAAACGGTTTGTCCTGGAATATCAGTTCTGAGAGGGGGGAAGAGCTAAGTGCCTTCATGCCCTGCCTGGAAGCTTCCTTGAATCATCCGTCCGGTTTTTGGGGACATCAGTGCATTGGACTAGAATGGGCTATCGGTCTGTTTGCAAGACCCTAAGTAATTGTGAGGTTGGGTAACTTGCGATCTGAACAGCAGTGCCATTTCCTAGAACGTCAAACATCTTTTCTGTTTCTGTGGAATTAAGCTTTACTTAGAATAAGATACATTCTCCCCAAATCGCAGTCTCCCTCTGTCCTCATCTGCCACAGTCCACAAAAGACTGGGTGTCTTTTCCTGTTGTCCTTGTGCTTTCCAAACAACTGGCCTCCTCCCAAACCGTAGTGCTTATATACTGGGATGGATCTCGTACATGGAAAACCACAAGAAGAATTCATTTCCGCAGCATCTGTTAACGGCCTCCCCCCAATCTCTGATAATTCTAAAGAGCTCAATATGGTTTCCAGAACCCTGAGAAAGCTGCAGTTCCCAGCACCTTTAACAAACTACAGTTCCCAGATTCTTGGTGGGGGCGCCTTAAATGTACAGTGCAGCTACCAGTGTTGCAAAGCAAAGTTCACAGTCCTAAAAAGAAAGCTGGTTTAAGCAGGAATATAGGTCCCCAATTAAGGGCTGCTTCAAGCAGGAAGGTGGAGAGGCAGTGCGGCCTAGTGGTTAGACTGCCAAACTAGGACCTGGGAGGCACCGGGACTCAAACCCCCCACTCGGCTATGAAGCCACATCTAAAATAGCATAGAAATAAAGAAGACCGTGAAATGATACAAACATGACCCCCGCTATGCAGCCTCCTTTGAACAGATGTGAGGAGGCTCGGTGTACCATCCTGCCCAGGGCCAGGCGATATCTGGTTTTCAACGTCAGCCGATGAGCGGGGCTTAAATTCTGCTCAGTTGGGCGGGATTCCAAGCAAACCCCTTCCTGATTCAGAAACAGGTTTGTCTGGCTCTATCTCCTAAACAGTCCCCCTTTTTTGTTTTAGCAGGGGAATCCAGTCTCATTCAGGCAGGGGGCTGCCTTGAATTTCCTGCTGAAACCCCCAAGTTGTCCAACTCTCTTTTAGCTGAAATCCCATCCTAATTGAGGAAGGGGGTTTGCATTAGAAGTGGGACGGACGGGGAGGGGGAATAGTTTCTAGCAGCAGTACCTCCCCAGGTGTTTTGAGGACCTATTAGTAATTGATTGATTGATTTTCTATACATACCTTTTGCAAACAGATCTTTTTTTAAAAAAGAAACACAGTATGCCACACATTTCCTGGAAATTATCCCCCATGACCATTGCAAAGCTCACAATAATAACAGTAATAGCAGCGTAAAGGTAAAAGGTAAAGGTACCCCTGCCCGTACAGGCCAGTCTTGACAGACTCTAGGGTTGTGCGCCCATCTCACTCTATAGGCCGGGGGCCAGCGCTGTCCGCAGACACTTCTGGGTCACGTGGCCAGCATGACATCGCTGCTCTGGCGAGCCAGAGCCGCACACGGAAACGCTGTTTACCTTCCCACTAGTAAGCGGTCCCTATTTATCTACTTGCACCCGGGGGTGCTTTCGAACTGCTAGGTTGGCAGGCGCTGGGACCGAGCAACGGGAGCGCACCCCGCCGCGGGGATTCGAACCGCCGACCTTTTGATCGGCAAGCCCTAAGCGCTGAGGCTTTTACCCACAGCGCCACCCGAGTCCCCCAATAGCAGCGTATTGGACCTTAACTCTGCATAGGAAGGAAACAGGGGCGGGCTGTCTAAAATAATTGTGCCCAGAAAAGGGTGGTGGTGGACAGGAGAGGTTTAGGAGAGAAAGAGTGACCCCTCCCTTCCTCCAGCTTAATCTGCAGCTTACATTTGATGTAAAATGTGCTTTTCTTAAAAAACCAAAAAGCCAGCCACAGGGACAGTCTAAAAGGAACAATATTTTGGGGGGTGGGGCGATAGCTGCATTAGAGGTTCCACACTGGTAAGGAAAATTCGAGGTTGAGAGACTACTCAACAGCCCAGCTTGTCGGGGTACAGGTCCCCCCCCATAGGTCCATGTGGTCAGTAAAAGAAGGAAATTCCAGCAAGCAAGCAATTTGGAGCAAAACAGCAGTCAGTAGCCTCAGAGCCTTTATTGTTCAACAGGTTCAACAGCAGCCAGTGAACCCAGAGCATGGGGCCACATTGACTTTGAAAACTTTCCCACCATATGTCAGAATACAGTTTGCACAGCATCATCAATACATCATTGCCACATTACTAACATGTCACAAAAGGGGAGGGTTACACAAGATGAGCAGAGGCAGCTATGGAGAGCACGAGGCTGGAATGTCAGGATGACGAAGGCAAGGAGGAGGATTTCCAAGACCATGAGGATCAAAGACTGAGGGGGAAGTGTCTGGATGATATTGTGGAGCCAGACTGGCAGGATGACAGAGTGGAGAGGCTAAGGGAGACATGGGGAAATGCCGTAGGTGGGAACTTCAGGCAGAAGCACACCAGCGAGGGCAAAGCTGGCTGGGAGTAGGGGAGGATAGCTTGGAAGGGGAAGGCGGGGAGATTGGAAGACACAGTTCCCAGGATGAAAGGCAGCGGATTAGGGGTGTAGTGGCGTTGGTGAGAACTTGAATTGCTGAGTTTCTCTTTGTGTTTTGAATCTAACCTTATTTTTCAAATCTACTCCTTACCCTTCCTTTCACTAATGGTAACTTAGCCAAAATATGCATCACTTTCAATGGTATAAAATGTCTGCAGAAACGTGAACTCTGCACATGCACAGAGGCTATGTCAGCTTAAAAACAAAAAGAGAAAAGGGGGGAGAAAGGAGGTTTGGAGAGAGTGGACTGCAGGGATTGTGTACAATTCGAAACCATTGAGGGAGATCAGCTTTATGTATCCTTTGCTCATTGCCAAGTTCTTTTCTAACATACCAAGTGCTTTTCACAGGTGGGTTTTTTGTGTGTTTTTTTTACACTTATCCTAAGTTATAAATATTCTGTTTTCATTTACTAATCAGTTTTTCCATGTTGTTTATGAAATGGATCGCGGCACAACCAACATTGTTTGGGGAGTGGTATTTGTTTACCTTTTTTACTTTACTTCTTATTAATTTTGTTATTGTGCCTAGTTCAAGGTACCTGCACCACAACTTTGAATTGTCATTCATTTTTTTCTTGGTATGAATTCGTTTTTCCATATTTCCATATCCAGACTGTGCTCCAGGATTGACAAGAAGATCACAATTGCCTCAAGATATGCAACTGATGTCTAATTAGTTTGTCGTGTATTACGTGTTATTTATGTAGGAATGTTGGAATATGTTTGACAGTGTGTTATTTCCACGGAAAGGAAAAGAATTTTTATGTGTAATTTTCTGGTTGTTGTTGTTTAATGTATAGTGTCTTATTGCTTACACCCCTGTGGAGGATTCTCATGCTTTCTAATGGTTCAGGCTATTGTGTAATCCACTCTTTAGATTTGATCACTGAAAAATATGGTATTTTGTTAGTTGCTCCTTGGGACTTTTTATCAACAAGTGCCTTTCAAATGTTTTAAATAAAAATTGAGGTGTACTTAACAGTATTCCCAGTAGAGGGCAGCAGTACATAACAACTGAAGTTGACACATCCCTGGCCTCATGAGTCCTTCCTATTCATGTAAGTTTTTTATGATGAAGAATATACAAACAAGTACAGTGGTACCTTGGGTTAAGTACTTAATTCATTCCGGAGGTCCGTTCTTAACCTGAAACTATTCTTAACCTGAGGTACCACTTTAACTAATGGGGCCTTCCGCTGCTGCCGATTTCTGTTCTCATCCTGAAGCAAAGTTCTTAACCCGAGGTATTATTTCTGGGTTAGCAGAGTCCGTAACCTGAAGCGTATGTAACCCGAGGTACCACTGTAGAGCCATTTTCAGAAGGATGGATATGCTACTAAAGATTTACTCATAGCCAACAAGAGTTAAGAGTGAATCTCAGGTACTATCAAGGGCGCACCTGAAACATTTTGGAACCTTTTAGAAAGCATTGCACAAACGCTGATTATTAAAGCTTTTTTTTTTTTTTGTCTTCAAAAGCGTACATTGCACCAATGAACCTTCCTCATGCTATGCTTACTGGAGGGTTGAAAGACTGTGAATTAGGCCTAATCCGATGTGTTAAGTTGCATGATACATCACAAGTGTTCTCCAATCAGCCCCCCCCCCCAATTGAAATACTTGATTTTTCCCCAGTTCTGGGATAGCTGCTTCCAATGATCAGGCAGGGCTCAAGGACAGGACTGGGTGGTCCAGGCAATGTTTCGTGAACTCCACGGCACTGAGAGCAGCATCAGAGAATCCAAACACAGCTGCATCTCCAGCCTTGTTGCTACGACACTTCTCATGTGTCGGCCAAGAGGAAAAAAAACTGATTTATTTATTTATAGGGGTGCCCTTTAAATAGTTGGGAGCACCTAACAGTGCAGATGTTGCTGTGTTCCCAACCCCACCCAGCCCACGTGGCCAATGGTCAGTGTGATGGCAGTTGTAGAAAGGCAACTGGCGCCCCCAATCCTGTTTTAAAGGCACATGCCAGTCTCTCTGCAGTGCTTGATCGCAACACTAAACTCAGGCACAGCAGCTTGTAGCTTTCAACTGAATGATATTTGTAGGAGTCATAAGGCAGGACTTTTTTATTTGGGGGGGGGCCTTCCCCCATTCCCATGCCGTCACTTGGAAGGTACTGGATGCAAAAGAAGAGAGGTATCATTTGTACGTACTTCTGGAGTCAACATACCAATTCCTGATCATCTGAAAACCCAAAAGCATGAAGTTAAAAGGCAGAACTGCCAAGACATCATTCAGAAGCCTCAAGTTCCACTTTACAAAGCACACACCAGCTTCCTCGTGAGAAACTAAAAGGTGGCTACATCCATTGGTCCTGTGGCCTCACCTCTGCCTTATTTTCTACTCTGTCCTCAATTCTGTCTCCATGCTTTTATGCCTGTACTAAGCTCCCAGGTGGCTGCATATGGCCTCAATTTGAGAAATCATGATAAGGTATCCATTTGATAAGAGATGGGAAAGTAGAGCTGTTAGGAGCTACAGCAAGGATCTTCTAAGAATGTATTCATCTTAACCCACTATTATTTCACACATCCAGGGAGAGACAGACCCAGTTTCTAAGCAGAGAAAGAATGAAAATTACCTTTTCCATTGAATTGGCAGAAAACAAATTTAGGCTGTACCAGATATAAAGGGAAATATATATACATAAGGGAAGAGAGAAAACCTGTTTCACACACATTGTTTCAAATGATCAATGTACCCACTGACACTTTCTTCTTTTTAAGCTTGTGTCCAAGAAGGACACTGACAAACTGGAACATGTCCAGAGGAGGGCAACCAAAATGGTCAAAGGCCTGGAAACGATGCCTTATGAGGAACGGCTAAGGGAGCTGGGCATGTTTAGCCTGGAGAAGAGGAGGTTAAGGGGTGATATGATAGCCATGTTCAAATATATAAAAGGATGTCATATAGAGGAGAAAGGTTGTTTTCTGCTGCTCCAGAGAAGCGGACACGGAGCAATGGATCCAAACTACAAGAAAGAAGATTCCACCTAAACATTAGGAAGAACTTCCTGACAGTAAGAGTTGTTTGACAGTGGAATTTGCTGTCAAGGAGTGTGGTGGAGTCTCCTTCTTTGGAGGTCTTTAAGCAGAGGCTTGACAACCATATGTCAGGAGTGCTCTGATGGTGTTTCCTGCTTGGCAGGGGGTTGGACTCGATGGCCCTTGAGGTCTATTCCAACTCTATGATTCTATGACCCCAGCTAGTGTTTGTCAGCAGTTTAATTGACAGAACCCAAAGGCAGCTGTGGCAGAAAAACAGATCAAACCCTTATAGCAGAAAGCAATGGTTTTGTTTAGCTAGAATCCATTTGGCATTAACGTGCTAAAGTAACGCAAACCGGGCAACATGTCAACAGGCATGGCAGCTAATAACTAAAACTGTGTTGAAGAAGTTGGCTCGAATTTGGCAGGAGCTGTTGTTCCCTTTCCGTAGAGGTCAGTTCTGGCAAACCTACTGGGGAAGAAAGTCTCTTCCAGGGCCTCCCAGTTTTTTAAGCCTCGGCAGATGGCTTCGTTTCACCATTCTCCATCTACCTACCTAACACATTCAGGCACCTGCTACAAACCCCATAGTTGCTCATATCAAAACAAGATCATTTGTCCACTTCTTCCCAGAGTTTGCAGGCACACCTGTGTGAACACGATATAACCCAATGGTCAAAACTCGGCAAGGGTTAAAAATCCTTCCCAACCCCTTATACCCGATTTGGGGGATCCAACTTTCCCAGCAACCCCCTCCTTCTGCATCCACAGGGTTCAAAATGGAAGCTGTCGCCTTGTCAACATCAGGGGTGACCACTGCTCCTTGCCCGACTTTTCTTCTTACAATTGCTTAGCTTACAGAGTAAATCTATACTAGCTATTTTTGCTCTCTCCCCATATAATTCCTCTGGGCTGTGGCTCAATGGCCGGACAAGGTTCGTGCAAAAGGACCCAGGTTCTCCAGCATCTCCAGGTAGGGTTGGCAAACACTACTGATATCCTGCATTGCAGGGCGTTGGACTAGATGACCCTTGGGGTCCCTTCCAACTCTACAATTCTATGATCCTGGAGAGATGCTTTCAGTCAGTGGTGACTACACTGGGTAAAATAACCCAGTACTGTCTTACACAGTTTAAGGCAGCTTCATAGGTTCCTTTGCTTTAAATAAGGGTTTCCTTGCTTTTAACAGCAATTACCTGGGGTTGATTGTCGATTAAAAGCCAAGTAACATTTCTCCCCACAAACCAAGTTGTCAGCTTATGCTACAAGCTGTCAGTTTATGCTAAGGTAATGGTAAAGGGACCCCTGACCATTAGGTCCAGTCATCGCCGACTCTGGGGTTGCGGCGCTCTTCTCGCTTTATTGGCCGAGGGAGCCGGTATACAGCTTCCGGGTCATGTGGCCAGCATGACTAAGCCGCTTCTGGTGAACCAGAGCAGCACACGGAAACGCCGTTTTCCTTCCCGCCGGAGCTATACCTATTTATCTACTTGCACTTTGATGTGCTTCTGAACTGCTAGATTGGCGGGAGCAGGGACTGAGCAATGGCAGCTCACCCCGTTGCGGGGATTCGAACCGCTAACCTTCTGATCGGCAAGTCCTAGGCTCTGTGGTTTAACCCACAGTGCCACCTGTGTCCCAGCGCCACCCGTGTCCCGTGCATACAAAAGAGTATGCATGGGTTAAAACTGGATTTGCCGTGATAAAGGGGTACCTCCCGGGCTGCCCATCTCTCACCCCCATTTAAAATAGCTCTGAATCCCTTACAGTGTCTTGTGGGTTAAGGAAGGAAGTGGTGATAAACAAGAGCTGGCTGGCTGTGACATGGCAGCAGTCATGCATTTTTCTACGCCCATGTCGTACCTGAGTATGTTACTAAGGAACCAAGCAGCTTTCCGAGAGGTTAATGCAAAAAAGGAACCAAGCGGCTTTGCAAAGTTTTCATGCAGGGTGCAACACACCTGAGTCGGAAGGAAGCTTGTAAAGGAGTCAGGAAAAAGGCAATTTATTAGTGCAGTCAACACAATTGAACAGCAAAACACAAAATGTGATCAGCAACTTGCGTACTGCCAGGAGACATAACAAACTCTATGGTACGTTTCAGAGCACAAGAGTGACAGCAGGACATCGAGGGGAGGTAAACAAGATGTGTTAGGAGAAAACAGTGAAGTCAGTTTCGCTCAAGATACAGTTATTAGGTTGGATTTAGCAGCTTTTTCAATTCCTGAGCAACAGGGACAGAGTTAGAAATTACTTCCAACCAGCATATTCCCCTTTCTAAACATGTCATTTATCACTGACATGTATACGAGCACAACCCATTCCATCCCTAAAACTGATCTGACTTTTGAAGCACATTCCAGGTGTTTTTAAATCATCACTTACAAAATTGAAGTACGAAGAAATGAACTGTAAAGTTACTTTTAAGTAGCAGCTCATACAGTTAACAGTTGTAAAAGCTGAAACACCATAGGAAATGGTAACAGGCTCGGTTTCTGAAGCAAAGTTCTACTTGGGAGCAGAGCATAAGCAGTGTGCCAACAAAGGAGAAAAACTGGAAGGAGGAGGAAAACGGAGGACACGGCAGAGCTGGAGAGCAGCTAATGAACAGGTCTGTGAAAAAGCAAAGGCCACGAACAGATTGATTGCTGCAGACTTAAGTATCTCCAAAGCACAAGCATTTCCCACAGAATGAAACCGGAAACAGCATCTGCTTGGTGAATATTCAAGATCATAAACAAAAGCTAAGCTGCGTTATTCATGCACTTTATTCATAGGAATGATTGAAGTTCCACAAGAGGGATGGAGATTATTTTTGAAGGGGTTTAAGAATCGTGTCTTCCTATACTCTTCTATCCTTTCTCCCACCCCACCCCACTTTCCACAAAAAGAGCAATGGTTGTAGGCTATCAATTGCTGTGAAAACCACATTCCCAATATACGCTGATTCTCCACCATAGGATCACCATGAAGAACCAGGCCACTTACTATAATACAGGACTGGGGAAAAACTTCTTAGATGATGTATTCCATTGCATCCATTTACAGTGCGGCAGGAGAGGAAACATTCCTCAAGCAGCCATCATTCCTGTTGATAGTATCCAGGAGTTCTTTCTGTCCCAAACATTTGCAGATGGTAACTGCTTGCAAAGTGGTCCAAACTCTATGCTGAAGGCAGCAGCTATGGTCATCTACTGTTGCAAATCCCTTATGTGAAATATTAACAGCAACCATTTCAGGCAGCAATAGCACAAGAAAGGGAATTAAACCTTGGTTCAAAGTTTCTGCTCAGATGAGGATATTCAGGGAGTCTTAACAAAGTGAAAGCTGTTCAGAAGGGATGGTACTGTCAGTGTTTAGATACAGAGCAAGGTCCAACTGCTCTTTTATTGATGTTTTTATTCCTTGTCCCACCAACTCCAGCACAAATGCTTAAACGCAAGGAAGAAATATTCAAAGCAACACACACAAAAAGAAAGCGGCTGTAAAAAACGGTTGCAAATAAATTAAATTTAACAGGTAAACTAAACTTGGACCTGAAGACATTCCTGACCACTGTATTTAAAAAATAAAATAAGGGAAACATATAAAGGCAAAAGTAGTACAAAAAAAATACTGGACACAATCATCGAGATGTCAAAAACAAAACAAAACACAGATTTATCAAAACAGCCAACGTACAATGACAAGACAGTTTCATCCAGGTTAATTTCAATTTTTTCCCCATTTTCTTTGCAAGGTCACGAAGTTGAGACAACCTTAAATGGCACACACACAATTCAGAGGAGTCTGGTTCTGTTCAAACTGAGCAGAGCATCTGCTTGGAGGCTTGCATCCTATGATAAAGGACTGAAGTCAGCACAGAACCTGACCTCACCAGCGGCACTTTGAGAGTACGAGGAGGAAGATGACATCTGGGTTCTGCGAGGAGATGTGCATTTAATTCTGCACCAGCAGCAGCAGCAGCAGCAACAGCACATTGCTAAAAATGCTAATTCTGTTGAAAACCAGGCCCTATCTGAAAAGGAAGGGTTGTCTTCTGTGCAACGTAAGGCCACGCATCTCAAGGAAGTTGCAGAAATTGTCCTGTCGGCTTTTTGGCTCCATAACACTTTGTATGCCAAAGACATCACTACTGGTATGTATATTTTATTTGGCATTACTCCCAGTTTGGCATCTGCCTTCTTGTGTACCCCATCCTTGTCCATCCACCCCAAAATAAGGCTGCCAAGTTGTGCCTTAAAGGTACTGTGTGAAAGTCAGATGCTATGGGGCCAAGATGGGGAAAGCGTGTGCCCTGCCTGCACAGAGATGCTTTGAAGAGAAACCAAGTCATCTGGGCCAATGCACTCATGTCAGGAGATTGAAGACTTCTCTAAAGACGTTTACGGCAGAAGCCCACTCACCGGAGCACAGAGGAGTTTCTTGTGCTTTTATGAAGACATTTGGAAACCTGCGCCAACATCAAACCGGAGTGGGATTATCACAAGGGGGTGGGGTGGGGTGGGGAAAATGCAGCACGGCATCTTGCATAAGTTGCTGGGCACCTGCCCAGTATAATTAGGAAGTGGTGTGTTAATCAACAGAGAGAAATAATGCCCTGACACGGCACAGCGGGGCAAGATCAGTCAGCTTGGACACGGTATATTTCTCTCTCAAGCACATTCGTTCATCATCTCTGCTAAGTCTTTAGATTTCCTCCACTCCGTGTGCAAATATCATAACCAGGCCTGGCTCCAGCACCATCTCCTCACCCATGTGCTGATTCTCACAGGCCATCACCACCACAGCCTGCTTGCCCGGAATGCGTTTGGCCACATAGTTTTCATAATAGCGCCGGTTCATCTGGCGGGTTTCTAGCGTGGCCAGGCCCTGGGGCCAGTTCCGTTCGTGGGCGTTTTCAATCAGCTCGTTGATGATGGATGTGGGGCAGCCGCTCTCCACCAATGAGCGCTTGATGACAGCCTGAAGTACGGCGTCTGGTGTAGAAATCATACCGCCCCACCGAGTCACTCGGGCTGGCTGCAAGGAGTTCACCCACCTAGAAGCAATTGAAGAAAAACAAGTCAAGGTAAGAGAAATATCAGGGGAAACAAGAGTGTTACCTACAAGCCTGAAGGTGAGGAATCCTAAATTGCATTGCTGATCTAACCTCTGGCCTTGGGCCAAACTACAATAGCAGTCTTGACTCAGAAGCTGCCAGCTTATTTTGAGCACTTCTGCAGATATTAACTGGGGTTGTAACTCACTTTAAAGTGTGTATGTGTGTATGTGTAAAAGGTGAAAAATAAATGCAACGAGTGCATGGCATTTTGCTTCCAACTTCGAGGAAAAGACAATGGAATGGGAAGAGACTTGCTCAGTGGTTTTCCAACTTTCCATCTTTAGAGAATGCTTTCCTCATTGATCTGTCCTCTAAGAAACCCCTTGCACATTATACATAATTCCGGGGCATGTTCTAGGAGGTTCATTCAGTTTACTCGGAACCTTGGCCAGACCTGATGTTTCTCCAGTTGCCTCAGGTAAACCATGTGATCCTCAAAAACACACCCAGCTACCCCTGACCCCCCACTTCTCTATGGTTGTGGATCACACAGGGAGATCAGTAATGGGCGAATGGTATTATAGGCAGCACTTCTTCTGTTCTTGAACTTTTCGGAAGCTTCCAAGGAGCGCTAGGGTTTTCCAAAGGCCACGAGAATCACAGGTTATTAGTTTAGTCTCAAGGCTTAAGACAGGGGAATTCAATTTTCAGCTCTGCCACCAAATCCATTATTTCATTTCCAATCTACCCTGAAGTGAGAAATGTGAGGCTTCAAGATTTGATCCCTATAATGCACTCTGCTACTGGAGATTGCAGCTACTTTAAACTGTTAGCAGCTTATCGTCTCCCATGGTTAAGACTGAAAGCAGCACATAATATCTGTGGTCCAGGACCTGCACTGTCAGCTGGTATGGATTTCAGGGAATCAACACTTTGGAAGACAAGAGAGTTATACTGAATAAGACTCCATATTTAGGAAATGTGTTTAAATCCTTTTCTCCCTTCTACATTATATCATACATAATGAGATATTTTACTATAGCCCATTGTTTGTTAGCCACCGGGTGGCGCTGTGGGTAAAACCTCAGCGCCTAGGACTTGCCGATCGTATGGTTGGCGGTTCGAATCCCCGCGGTGGGGTGAGCTCCCGTCGTTCGGTCCCAGCTCCTGCCCACCTAGCAGTTCGAAAGCACTCTTAAGTGCAAGTAGATAAATAGGTACTGCTTTATAGCGGGAAGGTAAACGGCGTTTCCATGTGCTGCGCTGGTGCTGGCTCACCAGAGCAGCTTCGTCACCCTGGCCACGTGACCCGGAAGTGTCTCCGGACAGCACTGGCCCCCGGCCTCTTAAGCAAGATGGGCGCGCAACCCCAGAGTCGGTCACGACTGGCCCGTACGGGCAGGGGTACCTTTACCTTTACTGTTTGTTCTCCTTTTTAATTGCAAACAACCCTGCTCTAAACACTCCTTTTGCTTCATCATGTTAAGTTGGAATTGACCAATGGTGTACATATAACACGATGTTAAAAAGCAGACACACAACAGTGGATTTTTCTTTCCCTAAAAAATTGCCAGAGAGAAGCTATTATAACATTTTCTGGAGACAGTGTAAGGGTTTAAGACTAGAATGGAACTGATTTCATTTTTAATTTTGATTGTTTTCATCCGTGTTATGAACACGGTATCTGACCTAAGCCTTCAAAATAAAAATGCAAAATAGTAAACATTTCTCTTCTACCTATTGCTCCTGTATGCGCATCAGCCAGGCAGCATGGATTCAAGCTCCTGTAACACTCCAGGAATCCAATGTTTCGAAACACCTTGGGTGATATGTGAGTGATATGTGAGTGGAACTCCACCCCTTCCTCTCTTGCCCCTGCAGCCACCCCCACAAACACCTGTGTTGCCATAATAGGAAGCATCTCCTTGCCTACTCTGTATATTATTGTATCCCTAAAGGTAAAGGTAAAGGGACCCCTGACCATTAGGTCCAGTCGTGACCGACTCTGGGGTTGCGGAGCTCATCTCGCTTTATTGGCTGAGGGAGCCGGCGTACAGCTTCCAGGTCATGTGGCCAGCATGACTAAGCCGCTTCTGGCGAACCAGAGCAGCACACAGAAACACCGTTTACCTTCCCTCTGGAGCGGTACCTATTTATCTACTTGCACTTTCTGATGTGCTTTTGAACTGCTAGGTTGGCAGGAGCAGGGATCGAGCAACGGGAGCTCACACCGTTGCGGGGATTCAAACCGCGACCTTCTGATCAGCAAGTCCTAGGCTCTGTGGTTTAACCCACAGCGCCACCTGCATCCCTTATCGTATCCCTAGAAATGTGCAAATTTGGAATGCGAACACACACACGCGCACACAGAGACAGAGACAGAGAGAGAGAGAGAGAGATTACAAGACAGTGAGGTCTTCTCCATTCCCTTTTTCAATCACTTTCCAACATTATCTTAGCTATGCTGGCCTTGCCCATGTCAAAAAAATACCCTCACCATTCCACCCTCTTTTAAAACTCAGTTCCAGCACTTACTCTAGGATTTCATTATATTCAATAGTTTCCTCCAAATTCTGCAGGTTGGGATTGACACTACGTATCGCTCGCATATATGCTTTCAACAACTGAATGTCACGTTTCTGAAAGAAACAGAGTAAACGAGAAGATGAAAGCTGCAGTTTTTCAAATAAGATTTTGAGAAAGACCTGGTTAAAAAAAAATGTCCCCGACGTTTAGATCTCTCCATTACGAGACGGTAATGGGATGCTAGGTATGGACCTAGTGAAGAGTCAGGGAACATAAAACGCATAGCGTGGTTGAAGCTAAGTGAATGTGGACCTATTTCCCATTTCTCCAGGATAGGGAGAACATGGGAACCCTACATTAGGATGACCTGAACTTTCTAAAGGAAAAGTGGGATATAATAAACATGTCCTGTAGGCATCCGTGATTCCTGAAAATAAGACCTTTTTTTCCGGCAGGGCTGTCATGCCTTCAAAAGTTTCATGACAGGCGTAAAACCACAACCAATGGCCATCAAGGATCAGACCAAAGGTGCATCTAGCTTCTCACAAGTCAGCCAGATGTTTTTGGGAAGCCCACACAGCAGGACTTGGAGGCAAAAGTACTCCCCTGTAGCTTGCTACATGCAACTTGCATTCAGAGGCAAACTTTAGCCATTTGTATGAGCCAACCGTTTTTGAAGGCGTCATAAGCCTGCCACAACTCGGTGGCAAAGCCAGCACTGCATGGAGTTTGTTCTTACCTTCTCCTTGACCCCTCCTTTCTTCAGCTCTGTGTCACATCAAGCTCCCAATTTTCTTCCTGCCAACTCATCAGTCCTGCTTCCTTTAGCCTCTCTAGCTCTGAGGCAGCATCATTCGCCTTTTCTCCTCCAATTTCCCACCTTGCCAATATATAGCTAGTTGGCCACCCAGGCTCAGGGCTCCCTGGCCCAAATAGGCTTATCTTCTGGGACCACTTCTCATCTGGCCACAGTGGCCCTGCCCCTCGAGTCACTGAGATTTGACTTTCCAGCTAAACTGATGCTTCAGAGGAGGCTGCATGTTAGCATTCCATATGGCTGCATTTTATTAGCACACAAACAGTGTTACTGAAGGAACACTTTACGAGGGAGGAGGCATGCCATGCCCCCTCCCCTTTCAAGTGTCAAATTTATTGCTCATTCACATCCCTTTTTTACCTCTGGGGTTGGCAACTGAGGAGGCCAGAAAGCACCATTCAAGGAGTCAAATTTGACTCAGGAGTTGCCACTTGGCTCACTGATATTCTAAAAGGGGTCTCATTAGCTCAATCAACAGGATCCAGAGGTTCCAGTACTAGAACAAAAAAATGCATTCACATAGAACAGTCGTACCCTGGTTCTCAAATGCCCTGGTACTCAAACAACTTGGAATCCAAACACTGCAAACCCAGAAGTAAGTGTTCCGATTCGCGAACTTTTTTCGGAAGCTGAACATGCTCCGTTTTGAGTGCCACGCTTCCGTTTTGAGTGTTATGCTGAGGTCTGCCTGTTTTTGCTATTTATTTTGCTTTTTTGTTTTGTTTTTGTGACTGTGTGGAACCCAGTTCAGCTACTGATTGACTGTGTGACTGCTGTACATTGTTTATTGCTTTCATTTTATGGATCAATGGTCTCATTTGATAGTAAAATCCATGTTAAATTGCTGTTTTGGGGTTGTTTTTAAAAGTCCTGGAATGGATTAATCCATTTTGCATTAATTTCTATGGGAAGCGCGCCTTGGTTTTGGAACGCTTTGGTTTTGGAACCGACTTCCAGAACGGATTACGTTTGAGAACCAAGGTACCACTGTACACTATATAAATACCATTCAATGATAATGCCCTGTAGTACTAGACTGCATTACTGCTCAAAGCTACACAAGGAACTTTCAGTACCTGCAAGGTTATAACCTCTGTATTTTAAGAAGAACCAACTGTCACATAGTGAATGCCCCTTTTGGATATTTTACAGCCACTCAGAACTTGAGAAGAATCTAGAGTCTAAAAAATATTTGAAATCCATCTGGGCAAGAGTCTTTTGAAATCTTCTCTTCCTCCTTAACATCAGGACTCAGCTATAACACTTACACAATACTTCAACTCAATATTCCCTATCTTCTAACAACACCCCCCCCCATTGATTTTTCATCCTCTGACAAATTCTGAACTAACAAGAGAGGTAATTTAGTCCTTTAGCCATTTCTCATGGCAACACAAACTCTTATCAGTTATTTGAGCTTGCCTGGGGAAAGAGGAATTGTTTATCTACTTAAAGGAGCCACAAAGACTGCTGCGAAAGAAGCTGTTACCTGCTCCGCTAGCTGGTGCTTATGTTCTGCTGAAGTCTTTTCCAACTCAGCTATCCTTGTCTGTTGCTGCTGCACCACTGACCGCAAGTGTTTGATGCAGTTGTGATTCGGTAACTCATCTTTGGGCATTTCCAAGCTGCATGGAGAAGGAACAGCAGGAATTGAGAAAGGTGATTAAGCAATGGGTGTTTTCTAATAGAAACTCATGGTTAGCTGACCTGCAAACAATGCGGAAGCAAAAATCTATACTTTAAAGCAAACTGGGACTGAAGTCAGTAGTCTCAAGTTACCAGCTGCCAGTATTGCGCAACTCAACTGTGCCTCACGCATCATAAAAGCTGTCTCATATTAAGCTTGACCAGGTGGACCACACAACCAATGTCTCTCTCCTGCTGATTTTTCCAGTTCACGCTGGCATGGGAATGAAGCCCTACTGGCTATAGTAAAAGGTAAAGGGACCCCTGACCATTAGGTCCAGTCGTGACCAACTCTGGGGTTGTGACGCTCATCTCACTTTATTGGCCAAGGGAGCCAGCGTACAGCTTCCGGGTCATGTGGCCAGAATGACTAAGCCGCTTCTGGCAAACCAGAGTAGCGCACGGAAACGCTGTTTACCTTCCCGCTGGAGCGGTACCTTTTTATCTACTTGCACTTTGACATGCTTTCGAACTGCTAGGTTGGCAGGAGCAGGGACCGTCGCGGAGATTCGAACCGCTGACCTTCTGTCCTAGGCTCTGTGGTTTAACCCACAGTGCTACCTGTGTCCCGTCCCTACTGGCTATATAAAACCCTTAGACCAGGGGTGCCCAAACTTTTTCCAAAAAGGGCCAGATTTGATGAAGTGAACATGCATGAGGGCCGACCAAAGTTCTTGAGCTTTTTTTAGGATCAAAGTTGTTGGGCTTTTACCCCAGGAGATAAACTGCCACGGGGGGCGGATTAAACCAACTGGCGGGCCGGATTAGGCCCCCGAAACAGACTTTGGACATACCTGCCTTAGACAAAGCACTGAACTATGACATTAAAATGCATCGGGTCAGACCTAGCTGAATACTTACCCGCATCCCTGCTCACAAGTCACAGGCCGCTTTGGATTGTGTTCACAGTCGTTGAGGTGAGACATCAGGTTGTCAAGTCGCACTACAGCGGTACAACCAAAAACAGCGTTGTCACATGTGATCTGCAGCTTAGATAGCATATTACGCATGATCCGAGGAACAGGCCGCAAGTGAGCCACGGTCACCACACTTCGGTCCACGGGGCAAGTCTGTTGTTGGGAGAACCACTGGGTGATGCAGGCATTGCAGAAGGCGTGTTCGCAATGAGGAGCCTGTGCAAAGAAGAGCAAGGTATGCCAATGCAGGTTACATCAGGTTCATGCTACTGGTTTGTGGCCTGTGTTCATGTGTGCTCTCTATCGGTGTTCCATGTTTTTCACAAATAAGAGAGAAAGAGTTGGAAGAAGAACAGAACTTCGACCAATAATTTAAGCCAATCTAAGCTACTAACAGCAGATGAAGATAGCTCACTTTGGCTATAACTTACCAGACACCGAAGCAGCAACACAGGACAACTGCCATCAACCAAAGGATATGAAAATCATCTACTGCCTTTGAGGCAGATCTCTCTCTCTCTCTCTCTCTCTCTCTCATATTAAGCCTATTGCAAATCATACTTTGCCATTTCAGTGCTGGTGTGGTACAAGTAGAGATCAATGGAAGGAGATGCACATTCACCACTGTGCAAGGCGTTCAACTCAAGAATGAATTGTTAAAATAAATCTTGATGATTTGAAAAATTCACTTCACAGGGTAAAGTAGCACAGTGCCTCTCCCTTTAACCAGCTGTTTTCATTGCACTGCCTGTGGGCGTAACATAGACAATCCTCCAAATAAGGCACAGTTGTAGTTATAACTCTTCTTCCAGAGAAGATTTATTCATGCACAAATGTACTTCACCAGCTCAGCTACTCGTCTCACAGCTATGCCTCCCAGGCATTGCCAACTGACAGAAGGCAGAAGTTTAATTTCCTATAAACTAATTCGCAATTGCTTGGTTCTCACCGTGCTTTCTGTCTTATGATAATGGGGAGGAATTCAGCGTAGTGCTAAGGAGAATGTTCCATCTGGCAAGTCGAAATGCTTGTGCTGATGGCGCAATTTCCCCTCTTCTCACCTCCTCCAGCCTATCAGCTGTTCTTGGGTTTCCCCCAACCCGAGCCAACCTGGGGGGGGGGGTCAGGGGGTAGAGAAAGGGGGGAAGCCCTGTTGTGCTGGCAAAAGTCCTTGAGTTGGCTTCTGCTAGCAAGATTCATTAGCTGAATCGGGCCAATTTTCTTAGTTTCTTCCTGTGTGCTCTCAGGTTTTTCCTGGACATCTGCTACACTAAGCTCTCCTACACTCAGCATGTGCCATATGCTTCCAAATAAGCCAGTGATGTAGCTGAGAATGGTCAGCCTGTTGAGCACCATAAGCCAACAGAAGGTTTAAAATACACTGTTGCTGAAATCACAAAATGGTCATTCATCAAGTGTTTGCGTTGATGCATTTGGACCACAAGACCAACACTTGTGGAAGTGACACAACTGGCTTGGGAGACCCATAAACATCACTCATGAACTAGTCTGCTAAGAAGTAAAGTTACTGCCTTATGACGGCTGTAATACAGTGTATTCAAATCTTGGCAAACAAAACAGATTTCTGTACTTTTACTAATAGTCTACAATTATTTTTTAACAGGGACTTTTTGTACATTTTTATTAATTTTCAAGAAAGAGATCTAGGTACAGAATAATAAGTGTGTCCTCAGCAGAACAGATGTTTGTCGTTTTTTAGGTAGTAATAGTTATTGCAAAGGTTGATGAATGCAATACATCAAGTAACAATAAAACAAATAATTACCCCCCCACCCAACGAAATAAAATTCTTTGTGAGCAATGCACACAAAGGGCATCCTCCAGAAAACCCCCCAGCAAATCTCTATTGCAGATGGGAGACACAGAAGATTAACAGGGACATTTTAACCTTAGCAAGCAATTAGAGGCTAACAATGCTGCATTTGCTCACTGACTCATCCCCATATAAACAGAAATACAGGCAAAGGCCTCCAGCCTACACCCTGACCCCATATGAAGAGAGGCTGAGAGATAACACAACTCGGGTGGCGGAGGCAGCTGGGTAACTGGTAATGCACAACACATATTCAATCTAAAAGGGAGTTAGGAAAGTTCAGAAGCTCTCGGTCTATTTCCTCTCCCATTCTCCCAAGCTTAATGACTTCCTGTTCAGAGAAAATCAAGATGTGCAGCTGAATAGCACATGTTGCTCTCCATTGTATGAACCGTATCACAATGGATTAGATGCAATGTGCATTCTGAGGCAGTTTTTAGAGTGTCGCTTCAAATTTAAACGCGAAACAGTCTGTCTCTTGCGCAAGAGGGAAACAATTTGAGTTTATTAACATGCCTAACTAGCTTGCTAAGAATAATGTTTCTAGTGCGATCAGAAATACTGTTTAACACTAAGATATTTTGCACACATACCATAACAAAACACTTGAGTATTTTAGGTAGACTGATCTCTCATGGCTACTGCGAATCAGCTAGTTCTGGTAGGTTGTATCCAACAAAATCATTGTATTCGCAAGAGAACTTCCTTTCCTTCTCCTCCTTCCTCCCACCAGACTACTCTGAAATCTGTTCTGGAACCCCCAGAACAGATTCGGGGGGCTTTGCTGTGCTTGTGGAAGTCATTCCATGAAAGCAATTATTTCGTTGAATACAAGCTTCTGTCTCCTCTGACAGGTTGGAACAGCATTTTAACTTGACTGATGCATTTTACAGGGTCACTAATTAGCAAGAGAAAATGCCGTCTCTGTTCAGTGCACAAGATGTGACTGGCGAGGTCCATCTCGCCCCCCTGATTGCTCGTTTTCCATTGCTTTCTGAAGACTTTGTTTTAGCAGGCTCTGGGCAGACTCTGTGATTTCTTTTTGCTTCATCCGGAAATTTGTTTCTCGCTTTTTGATTTTCTACCACCCCCACGTTTTGCTTAAAAAAAAAAAGTTTAAGCAATGTGGTTTTTTTAATAAAAAATGATATTTGCTTTTAATGTTTGTTTATATTAGGCTCCCTGGGGACTTCATTTTGAAGTGAAAGGGGGGATAAAAATCTGAATAAAGGAAAAGCAAAGGGCCCTTCAGGATTAGGGTCCCATACCTGCATATGGAGCAAGCACCAAAGCCAGCCATGTAACATGCAGCAAGGTCATATTTTTGGTTAATGCTTCTTCGTGCAAATGTTACATAAGGAGACCTACTAAGATAAGAATAGTTTCTGCCAGTTCCCTGTGCAAAAATAAACTCATGCTCCAGCAGTTCCAGCCTCTCAAGAAACAGAAGCTTTTGTTCTGAATGTGGAATGACAACTCCCAGTATGCCTAGTTATACAAGTATCTGAAGGTTCATCGTCATCTAGTTACCAGCTACCTGCAAGCCAGAGAGCTGAATTCAAACTAAGTGTTTTTTTCCTTTTAATGATATTCCAAAGCACTTTTGCGGCCACCCAGTGCTTCTTTCATATGCAAGTCAATCTAAAATTCAGCAGCTAGCTGTTTAGCTTAATTCATCTTTTCAAGAACACCTTGCCAGCAAAGAAATCAATCCTTTACCTATCCAGTTCACTTTAGCTACAGATAGAAGTGATTTGTTTACTACTGATAAGAGAACAAGACAGGCTTACAGCTGACTGACATATTACCATATTACTACAGGGAAAGCAAAATAGATGCATGTGGTCACATGTGACAATCATATGTGGGGTTGGCTTGAACATATGCCAGGTCCTGCTTGTATGTTTCTGAAAGGCACCTGGTTGGTCACCGAGAGAAACAGAGGAGCCTTTGGCAAAAATTCAGTAGGACTCTCCTTATGTGTACAAATTGTTAACTAGTTAACATTCACAGTCCTAGGTCTATCATTTTGGAAAATCCAGAAGAAATTGCAACAGATAGTAGAGAAATCATGTGCTCCGATAGCCTATATTTTAATACCATGAAGTGCATAGCCTATCATGAAGTCCACTGCCTTTTATATGGATAAACTACCTACCCAATTAGTATTCAGTGATTAACATGGGCTGTTAAATTTGAGCCTGAACTCCAAACAAAGCTCACGATGTTTAACAGATTCCAGTGGAATTTGCATAGATACAGTGTGCATTTTTAAACTTTTTTCTTTGGCTTAATAAATCAGACTATATTATAGCTTTAAAAATTAAAACAAAGAGTACTATCACATGTATTCTCCCTCAGTCATGCAGCTGAACAAAGATCTAATACAGCTTTGACATAGAAAACCTTCAGCTTTCCAATAAACTACAAAATCTTTACGCTGACCTACCTGCACTGGCTCCTCCAAGACCCCGCTGCAGATGGGACATATAAGATCTTCATCAACATCCCCTTGAAAACGAGCTACATCATACCCCATTTCTCATCACCGATGCCAAAACCCTAGAAAAAGCAGGAGAGGGGAAACGAAGAACAGTTGAGCACAGAAGATCTGGAGTCTTGCCACAAGAGACGACAGCATATTCAGATTGCTGCTTCTGTGGAGTCAGTTAAAAGTCATTCTTTTGGCTAGGCTGCCTGCTGCCTGCCAGCTAACCTGATAAGGCTGCATTCTAAGTCAGGGATTGACAGAAAAGCTTCAAATCCCTGAAGAGCAGGGTGTGGTGCAGCAAAGAGACAACTCAACTCAGCCCAATCTGTGTGCACAGATTTGGGTGGTTTGACCCACCCACTAACACCAAATTAGACACTTCCCTCTACAATGCAGAATTACTCATCTCTTCACTTGCATTTTTTAATTCCACACCTTGCTTTTTTTTGTTTTTTTCTGTGGAACAACTTGCCTATATGAGCGATGGCAAGGTGTGTCTAAGTTTCACACCAAATTATAGAGCAGGTATGGCAGGAGGGGGGAAAGAAGAAAAGTTCCATAGCTAAGACCGCTGATGGGGGGCTCAGGGTAATTAATTCACAGCCTTCTCTAGGAGCTGTAAACGAGCTTGCAAACCTTGCGGGGGGGGGGGAGCAAAACTGCACAGGCTACTTCCAATAGAGAGTTGAGTTTGACGTCCTCTGAGGGCAGGTAATTTGGGTGCATCCCTATATCAAGCAAGATTGGATCAATCACTCCTGATGTAGTTAGACACACAGCATACTGTAATTACCTGGCCCGAGGAGGCTAACTGAATGATGGCACACCCGAGTCTCCCAAGAGTCTGAATTATTTATTTCTTGAAACACATGCTTTGGGAGTGACTGACAGCTCCTCCAAGAACCGGATCAGAGCATGAACTCTCATGGCTAATTATATAGCGTTCTCCAGCCATGTTCGCCTTCCATCTTGTAACCTCCCAATTCTGCGCTCAACACCATCCCACCCTGTCCACCTGCAAACAGAGGGAGATTGTCCACCAAGTTTCATACGCCACCAAATTAGGAACACAGAAAGCTGCCAAGTCAGACAATCGGTCTATCCAGTTCAGTATCGGCTACACTGACCTCCAGTAGCTCTTCAGCGTTTCAGAAAGTTTATTTTACCCGATTTTGGTGGGATAGAACCTCTGACCTCAGTGCTACCTCTGAGCTACAGTCCTCCATCAGTAATCCATAATGCTGAAACAGAGGACTATCAAGAGAATAAGTTGGAAATTGGGGGGAATGGGACAGAACAGATCCTGTCACACCATCTCCTCTAAGTCTAGTTACATACCTTCCAATTTTTAAAACAAGCACTGAGTTCCTCCACAAGCACTGAGCTGAACTGTGAGCTATTATTGCAGTCCTACAAACTGCCCTGTCCGATTCATTTAAACACTCTTGCACCTTGATAGAGGCAAGTGACAAATTTCCAGAGTAAGGGCCAGCCTCTGTCAAGATCTTTATCCTCCCCAAGGGAAGCATATAGCCATTGGCCGAGAAAGGATTAATGGTACACCTTTCCGCAATGCTACTTTCAAGTGACTTGCACGGCTCCTGGAATACTTCAAGAGCAGACGGCTCATTTCTGCTCACTCAGGGACCGGCTTCTAGGGGAAAAGTTGCTGTAGAGATGACATTGCACTCTTCATTATAAGTTGCCAGCTTGTTGGCTGTAACTTTAGCTGCTGGAATTATGACATCAAAAGAGTAACAGAGACTTTCTTCATTTGCAAAATGTAGTCCTATTGGCCAATATGACCTTAGTTTTAAGATTCTAAACAAATATGGCATATTTCATTGTCAGGAAGCATTCAAACATGGGAACATAAGTAGCACAAAAAACCATATTCAATAACTGATAAAACCCAATATGATTAATACACCATTGCAAGTCCGAAGCAAACAAAGAAAATATTATCTCCTCAAATATCCCAACTAGTCTTTTATGTACAACAGTATGTTCCGTTTGACAGGGAATATAAATTTATGAATACAGCACAATATTACAAAAGCAAGAGATATTGCGAAGAATGAAAGAATCATTACATTAGAGCCAACTGACAAAATAAATGCACTCCAAAAGGCCCAAAGGTACCAATATTTTAAACTTAATGAGTCTTATAAGTAGAAACTTATATTGCTAGCTGCCCAATGGCATAAGTGCTCGAGCACTGATAGTAAAATAATTATGAAAGTATGGTACAGTTCAGGGATGAATTTAACTTAAACTGCTCAGAATGAGAGAAGGGAGACCAAAGCAAGAACAATCAGAATTTTTTTGTCTCCTTTTTATGACATATATAGAGAAGAATAACAGGATACAATCTTTTAATGCTTTTTCATAGCTGTGATAAAATGTAACAAATGTTGAAATAATATATACATGGTTTGCAGTGCTGACAAATACATTGTTAATAACTAATGAAATGTTCCATAAGATTAACAGGTGTGTGTGTGTATGAGTGGCCGCCGGGACCATATAACACCGGTCCTGAGAGATCTGCATTGGCTCCCAGTACGTTTCCAAGCACAATTCAAAGTGTTGGTGCTGACCTTTAAAGCCCTAAACAGCCCGAAGGAGCATCTCCACCCCCATTGTTCAGCCTGGACACTGAGGTCCAGCTCCGAGGGCCTTCTGGCGGTTCCCTCATAGCGAGAAGTGAGGTTACAGGAAACCAGACAGAGGGCCATCTCGGTAGTGGCGCCTGCCCTGTGGAATGCCCTCCCACCAGATGTCAAGGAAATAAGCAGCTATCCTAGTTTTAAAAGACATCGGGAGGCAGCCCTGTTTAAGGAAGTTTTTAATATTTAATGCTGCACTGTTTTTAACACTCGATTGGGAGCTGCCCAGAGTGGCTGGGGAAACTCAGCCAGATGGGCGGGGTATGAATAATTTTTTTTATTATTATTATTATTATTATTATTATTATTATTATTATTATTATTATTAAAAATGTATGTATTGTATGCTTTTGTATAGATTGTTTTAGAAAATTATTACAAAAAACAATATTCAAGCATGGACACAGAACGGCATCAAAATAATGCATTTTACAAATAAGAACACAATTAAACCCCATTTTGCAGTTGGGGAAACCCAAGACAGGGAGAAGTGACTCACCCAAAACCAGAAAGCAGATGACATGAGGAGTCCACATTATCAATTTAGCAGCATGATCACCAGTTTAATTTGCCTCTTGTAGTAAGTTATGCACTGCTGATAATCAGAAATAAAGGGTTCAGTCTGTACATTCAGTGAGATTGCTTATACTAGATGCTCAGATTAAAAAGGAACATTTCTAATGAGATGGCTATGGCAACATGGCTTGCTGCTGAGTGATCATGTTCAATATTTAGGCCACTTCTCACTACTTATCTCTGAATAGCATAGATACACAAAGATGAGATTTGAAAGGTCACCCTGAGCGGACAAGAGGGGAAGAGGCACACACAAAACGGCAGGAATATACAGCTCATGGCCAAACAGTCTATCCTGGCTGGAACAATTTGTCTGGAAAGCCGATGGCAGCTGCCCAAATTATAGGGTGTTTGTAAGTTTTTAAAGGAGCATCCAAATGAATCATGTCTGAAAGTCATAGCGCACCTAGGGATTTTTCAGTATACTCAAATTCGAATCACAAATGAGACCTGTTCAATAGTTTGGCTGAATTTTATAACCCATAAATACCTTTAAAGATTTCCACACAACCTAAAATCTTGATGATTCAAATGGCAACAGAAGATGCAACGAAAAATATTATTGCTTGAGAACTAAACATGATAACCACAAACCCACATTCTAGTTCATGTTCTGTTTACCAAGACTGTTAATCCAATCATTTAAAAGTATCTTAACACAAATAGTATTTTATCTAGACTTCAAACAGACTTGAATCTCAGAAGTCGTGATTTGTTATCACTGCAATAGCCACTACTACATTGCTTAGAGATCTCTGTCTAAGAAAATAACCTAGTAAATAAATTCCCACCACCATTTGAACCTATTTTCAGTGTTATGACATTCCGAAGGGTGTATCAAGAAATAAATCTGTCTACTTCTCTGAGAGGAGAAACACAATTTAGTCCTACAGAGGAAATCTAAATTTGCCTAAGTTCTGATACACTTTGAAACTGAGAACCAAGTAGTATTACCGCATAACAGGTACAAGCATCCTTCCCTGCTCTTGTAAGCTATGGTTTTGGGGTTTTTTTTTGCTTTTAATGAGGTTTCCTAGTTTCGTAATAAAAAGACTGCTGCCCAGGGAAAGGCATATGAATACACACATCCTACAGTGGTCTACAAGGGACGCGGGTGGCGCTGTGGGTTAAACCACAGAGCCTAGGACTTGCCGATCAGAAGGTTGGTGGTTCGAATCCCCGCGACGGGGTGAGCTCCCGTTGCTCAGTCCCTGCTCCTGCCAACCTAGCAGTTCGAAAGTACGTCAAAGTGCAAGTAGATAAATAGGTACCGCTCCAGCAGGAAGGTAAACGGCGTTTCCGTGTGCTGCTCTGGTTCGCCAGAAGCGGCTTAGTCATCCTGGCCACATGATCCAGAAGCTGTCTGCGGACAAACGCGGCTCCCTCAGCCAATAAAGCGAGATGAGCGCCGCAACCCCAGAGTCGGTCACGACTGGACCTAATGGTCAGGGGTCCCTTTACCTTTTTACAGTGGTCTACAAGGCTCAGATACAGTCAATCTGGACAATCAGATTCAGAATACAAACTGCACGTACCTCTGATAGCTGTGCAGGAAAATAAATTGTAGTGGCTACAGCTTGTTCTGTCACAGTGCCACAAGTAGGAAGTTGCAGTTGCCAGGGTTTCCCCTTCTACTACTGGAACTAGAGAGCCACTGCATGTAGACTTCACTAACTTTACACAGGACCAGACCCCTTGGTTAAAGATACCCTAACAAAGAATTCTCTTATTAGTTCCAAATGAGTTTCCATGTCTTATTTCCAGCTTTGCAAATGATTCATTCGTGTGATCCCAAGATGTCACTTTGATTTGCTCTATCTTTAGAAGCAGGTATAATATTTAGCCAAACCATGGTGAGAGGTTCTTTGAACTTTAATACTTCCAAATGAAAAAACAACAACAAGAAGAAAAAATCACAGTAAGGAGAAATTCACTCCGGCTTGCAGAGACAACTTCACATAAATGAGAACTGGCATAGTTTGTTCTGCGTGTAGGATAGTAGCAAAACTGAACAGAACAAAGCAACAACCATTTGGTACCTGGATAACAGTTTTCTAAGACTGTATAGCCTTCAAAATATTTAGGTAGAAAGGCTTCCTTCAGATCTACCAAATGCTAGGAAGCTCTGAAGGGTGTTCAGAGCAATTAAAAATGTAATTAGTTGAAAGTCCAGTGGAAGTCTATCAATGTACAATGCTTGTGCAGGATCTCTGGTACTACAAGCTCAAACATCGGTGGTCAGTAACTGTGAAACCTAGACTGGTACACACTATTCAGTAGACAATGCAGACATCATTTAACTGTGGAGAGATTGCATCGCTGGTGGGGAACCTGTAGCTCTCTGGCATACATGTTTTGATGCTGATGCGATGTTCACAAATTATTAATCAAAATACCCAATTGAATGGTTCAGCTGTTAGACAGTCTAGTTTTAGCTGTGCAATGAAGGGAACTAAAATGCATAATACATGCTGCGTGCATGCTAAAAAGAAATGGGAGTTTATCTGGTTGATATGTGGCACAAGAAAATAAAAGATGAGCAGGAATAAATAAAATAAAATAAAAGATGAGTAGGAGAAACATGTGACACATGTTGTAGTATCCAAAGCAAAGTTTTCTCTAGAAAAACAAATGCAAAATTACCCAGGACCATAGCCCCTGGATTTGAAAGCATACTTAAAAACACTGACTGGGTTTGGCATTAGAAATAAACAGACATTTTATTAAGATAAAATCTGCAAAGGAGCAGTGAATATCTGCTTAATGCCCAAATGGATTTTCCAGTGTTATTTTGGACCAACCCTCCCCCATTCCATACAGAAAGCTAAGAGCAGTTCTATGACAGTTAATTTAAGGAGAAATTAAATCCTGCCTTATATGCTATTATAATGCTTTGACGGGCTAGGAAGGTGGAAAGTTGAGACCCACCCTTTCAACCTATTATGGGAAAGAGGCTTATTTAGCTTTCCTTTTAGTGGTACCACAACACCTATACTTGAAATGCTGCCAGGTTTTAACTATCACATAGGCATAGGTAGCTTTCCCCATCTCTGGTCTCATATGGACTCAGAAACTGTTCATGTTTCTGCCTTTTCTTGAAGCATGGGTTTAATTGTAACTTATTTTGGTATTACATGGAGGCATATTGCCTGTTACACAAATTTTCACGAATAGCACAGTATTATCCTGTTTTCTGTAGTCAAATTGTATCATGTGGCTGCAATCAGCTAATGCACCTTATGCTATGTAAGGCTTTTAAAATTCCATTTCCTTGCCAACGACAGGAGGGAGAGGGATTAGACAGCACAATTAAAAACCACAGTCTACTCATGTGAGTGGAGTGCAGGGATTTGGGTATCTTTTTGAAGCAATTGTTATCTAAAATATTGCTGTTGCTTGATCTTCAAATAACAGCATTGTCAGTAACTTCAATTGCTAAAGGAATAGCATCAGACAGCTGACTTACTCATTTCTGTTATTCATTGCAACTTAGTGCTAGAAGCCTACAATTCCCATGCAGCCTATCCGTTTACTGCTTCAGGAGATAGCTTGTAAGCTAAAATGATGAGCTGTCTAATCACCAAAAAAGAAGAAAGAGTTTAGGCTACCAATAGTAGAGTTCACAGTTTGAGAGACTTCTGAGATACAAATTTTGAGATACACACAAAAGGCCCCTTAAAAACCTGAATACGGTAAGTGTGAGGCTGACGCACACAATAATAAAAACAACCAAAAAGAATGACAACACATGCCTACACTTGTGGTTTGCCGATGAGAATCTAGGATATGAAAGCCAACAATCTAGCAGTCGGTTAAAAATCTGAGGCATTTCTAGAAATATGGTTGCCAGAGCCAGACCAACTGCCTGTCACATTAAGAGCTCTGAATAGAAAAAAATATACAGTGGTGCCCCGCAAGACGAATGCCTCGCAAGACAGAAAACCCGCTAGACGAAAGGGTTTTCCGTTTTGGAGGTGCTTCACAAAACGAATTTCCTATGGGCTTGCTTCACAAGACGAAAATGTCTTGCGAGTTCCTGCAGGGTTTTTTTCCTCCCCCCCCCCTTTTCCCAAGCCGCTAAGCCGCTTATCAGCTTATCAGCTGATCCACTAAGCCGCTTATCAGCTGATCCGCTAAGCCCGCTAAGCCGCTAATAGCGCTAATCCGCTAATGGGCTTGCTTTGCAAGACGAAAAAACCGCAAGACGAAGAGACTCGCGGAACGGATTCTTTTCGTCTTGCGAGGCACCACTGTATATAGCAGTGGTTTCTCCCATCCTAGTCTGGAATCCTTCCCTTCAGTTCTCTCCTGCTGTTTTAGGGTACAAGAGTCCTGGTTTGCTACATCAAGGAGAATAGCAGGTAATTGTATTTTATTTATTTAACAGAAATAATTTAAAAGGCACTGGGTTGAAAAGTGCCACTGCTGCATACTATTTCTCAGCCCCAGAACTTTGAAAATGTAGGGTGAATCTTCAGGTAATCTCAGAAAGTTTGCATGAAGCCCTTGTTCAGCGCAAAAAGGCCGGCATGGGGGATCAAATCAATGGCTCTGGCATTACTAACACCATGCTTTAAGCTAGCTACTTATCTGCACTGGGTGTGACTAAATCAGGAATGGGCAACCTGTGGCCTTCGGTCTGATTTCAAGACCCCTCTACATGCAATCAGTTCGAGTGAGATCTGTCCCTACCTCTATAGGGCAGAGAGAAGGGGTGACCCCACTCACTGTCAACATATGGTCACTAACAGATTATTTCTAAAGGAACATGGCCCTTAACACACAAACAGTTTTATTTTCCCCCTTACATTTATATCCCTTTTTGTATCATGTGACCCAAGTTGGTGTATTCGGGTCTGCCTTCCTTCAGCATGGTGGTGGGCTCATATGCCTTTGGACCACAGGATGCCCACCGCTTACTAAATGATCCAGTCATTAGCAACACAGGAGAAAATGGGGGACCTGTTATCAAATGAGACTCTTCACTGTGTCTCTGCATACGTCATTGCTTTGGTTTTCCATTCTTTCAATTAGGAGGCATGCTCAAGCAAAGTGTGACTCAAGCAAAAGCATAGGACATGACTGAATCTTACTCTTACAGACATTTTCCATGTGTAGCTATGCAAGCCTCCAATTTTAATTCAGAAAAGAGCATGCTACTTAATGTATGACTTTCTGGGCATTGTAATGTAAATTAAACAGAAAAAGCTTTTGTCATTTTTAAGAGACTGCGGTTTCTATTGGAGCACCCAGAGACATACTAAGAATGTCAACCAGAAGAATTAATGACCTAGTTTGCACATAAAATATCCATTTTTTTCTGTCATCCCCTTTTTATTGTCTCTCAGCCTAGCCTACCTCATACAGTTGTTGTAGCAATACAATGGAGACGGGGAGACCTGTGCTTCTTGGAAGAAAGGTGGGATACAAATGCAATCAATAAATAAAAGAATAATGCCAAATTATGGCATAGTGAAAATGTGTGAGCATGTGAGTTTCCAGAGAGGAGACCGCAACTGTTGGATGCTCCTCCTGTCCTGTGAGCCAAGCCATGGTCTGGTTTAGTGTGTCCTCCAAATCCAGAGTTGTCTTGCTCAACGTAAAGCATGAGCTGCAAACAAACTATGTTCTTGGTTTGCAGCTTGTCGTTTGTCTAGAAAGAGACAAATCACAAGTTCAGGATTGGACAACCTGCTAAGTCAACCCATGGCTTAGCTTGCAGCGTCAAGTACAGAGGGGGAGCAGGATGGTCACGATCTTCTCCCTTGAGAGCCCTTGCGCTTGTACATTTGCACTAAGCATCGTTTGGCTTTACATTACATGCAAATCTTACCGATGTGTGAAACAAAAAATGCACACAAAACCTCCAAATACATTTTTAGAAGCAATGTGGCTCGTTGTTTAGGGATGTATGAAACAGTCAAGTGCACACCAATGGGCTGTGATACCCTAGAGAAAAATCTAGTTCAAGGTTAGGGCAAAGTTGTTGCAGGTACAAACCAAAGGCACAATTTTCTGAAACAACCTCAAGCCTCCTTTAAAAGAAATGAAAGGTGGGATACTTTTCTATGTTAATCTTTTTCCATTGTTATAAAAAACTGAAAGAACTTCTAGATAATTATTGCCCTTTCTAATGAGACTTCCACATGCTAATTTCCTTTTTATGCACAGCACACCTTGCAGTCTGGATGTCGCTTGGCACAGATAGTCATTATGTAACAGACACCACTACTGGCGCCTGCTTCCAGTGTCTTAAAGTGCTCTCTCTGCCTCCCAGATTTCAAAGTGAGGATAGTCTCTCTTGCTTATTACACAGGCATGTTATCAATTACAGAAACATAAGACAGAGCACTCTGAAATGTTCAAGTGCAGGACTAAAGTCATTCTGACTCCAATAATTCATCGTTTGACGATAATATGACTGCACCAGCTCACAGCAAAAATTCCGAAATGTAGGTCTCTTGCACTGAGTAAACTAAACAGTTTATTCTTCCTGGTAAATATACTCACACTGCCCTTCACACATTACACAATACAACCTTCACCTACAAATAGATTAATGCTATGAAGCAGTCCTCAGAGTTGACAAGTGTCAATGACTTTACCTCTTGCTTATGGGAATGTGGGGCTTTATAGGGTTATCAACTCGAAGAACAAGGATGACTTGATTCTGTTGTCAAACAGAAGAAGTAGATATACAGACAATATCTGTAACTTCTCTTCACAATCTCCCAACAGTACACTTTAAATCGTCTATGTTCTTGTGTTTTTAGAGTCTGTTTTTTCTAAAGAAATTAATGGTAATTGGTCATGGTAAGCAGACATGAATTTACCAGCAACATGATATAGTGGCCTACCAGTAAGTAAATTCTAGTACTTAAAAAGAGATGGCAGTAAAAAAAGTATTAAAAGCCCTTCCAGCAGCTTAGGACAAGTCAATTTGCATATCTTCTATTGTCCTGTGAATGTTGTATTTAATTTATCTTCTTTAGTTGGGGAGACGGTAAGAAAACGCCCATCTACATTTGTATTGGACTCAAAACTGTTTTACATTTATATATTGTTTTATTCTCAAATTGCTTTCCAATGTCTTACAGAAGACAGTTCAGAAATTAAATAAATAAATAAATACAATAAAACCTTGTGTAAAGTTCATTACTCAGATCTAGCTCACAGGACCATATTTATAAAAATCATCTTAACTAATCAGAAGCTAGATTCAAGACAAGTAGAAGTCAGTTCAAGAAAGCCATCTTGTCACTAACTGCTTCAGGAGGGAAACACAAAGAGGAATTTAAATAAATATAGCTGCAGAAACAATACTTTCTACACAAGTAAGTACCGGTAGTAACTAGGCAGAACAAATTTTCCATACACACATGAACTATTGACAAGTCCATTCTTGAAAGCAACCACCTTTCATTATTTAAGCACTACTTCCTCCAGTTTAACATCAAAGCCAAAGTCATTGCTTGTGTACAGCTTTTAGAGTGTGTTAGTGCTCATAACTCTAAAAATAACCTATGAAAGAAACTGGTGATTTTATGTGATATTTCATGAAAGCTTTAAGTCATCTTTTTGCACTTCGTTCATACAGAGTGTTTTTCTCAGGGAAAATGCTGGCACGAAACACAGATACCAGGAGCTTGTTTTCACAACGAATGACAGATCATTTTAGTGTTTCTGCAGCCCAAGCATATTATTTTCACAGTGCCAGGCAGATTACTCCCCCCAAAGCGTAACCTTTAATTACCTTCCAGAACATTATGCTTCTGAAAGAAATCATGACACCCAAGTTGAAGATTTCTAAAGGAGGGAGGCAGATCAGCATCTAGCCAAACATAAGCCTCCTAAGTCAACAAAACAGCTACTTGAAGCAGCTTACGTATAGTTCGAACATAAGCTCTGCCAGGCCCTCTGTCTTTGCTTACTTTCACCCAAGAGCAATGAGATCAAAAAAGGGGGGGAAATGGTAATATGGGATCACAGCAACAGGGAGTGTTGTAAAGGAAAAAAAGATCGCTGACTCTCTTTTCATCACCAAGTTGTAATTCAAGTATTAAAATTATGTGAGCTATAAATATTTATCTGCGAAAAAAAAAATTATGTGAGCTAAAGCAGTATTTTGTTCAATTGGTGTTCCATATTCTGCTTTATTTCACTATTCAAAATGCTACCTGAGTTTCCTTGCCTAGCAATGAATATGTGCCCTCCAATATGTGTCTCTTACCTAACTCCCTATTATGGTGTTCAATAGCTCTTAAAGCTCTGCACTGCCTTGTTCCTTCCTACCTTTTGTCTCTTATCTCATGTTATGCTCCTGACAGATTTCTTTGCTTCCTCGTTCTCCATTGCTTGAATCTCTTCAGTGGCATTTATCTTTGTTTCCTTTAAGAACTTCTTTTAAAAATAACAGCAAATGAGTGTTCCACAGAAAAGGAGCAGCAAAGTCTCAAAGTTAGCCTTTTCTCCCTAAAATTCTATTCTTTCCTAAACGTAAAAATATCTACCCATCAACTCTGCTATAGCGTAAATTTAAAAGAATTTTAGGCAGGCGCTCAATTTCTTTCTCTCTCATCTTGCCACGACAGTGCATTGTGCCCTTTCCTTACAGCAACATCCACAGCGATTAACCTCCTAGCAGTTCTCTTGTGCTCCCTGGCAGGCTCTGAGCCATCACTTAGGAATTAGTACTACAGGAAATATTGTTTTTCTGGCATAGAAGCAACAGCCTTCAGCAGATGCTGTTTGCTTTAAAGCAATAAGACTTTCAGCTAGGAATCTTTGTTATTGCCAATTATGGTACAGAAAACACCCATAGGACTCAAACATGTCCTGTTCCAGAAACAGAGCATCTATAGAGTAAGTTTTCAGGTGCTTCTGAAAGAGCTGAATTTGAAATTTGCATTTTATGTAGCTTCCCAAAAGTGACCAAAATAGTCCTACTCGTACCAACATTTGTCATCCACCACTGTTTCTCAAACAATGTAATGCAGAGAAGTCATTGGTGCTTGGGCTGCATAGCATAGATTATAAATGAATGCACCATAGTTGTAGAATTGAAGATCCTTTCAATACCTTATTTCGATTGGCAAATCTCTCCAAAGCTTTCAGTTCTAAAAGGTTCTAATGACAAAATAAAAATAGAATGTGCAAACAAATATAGGACAACAGCACCCGGCTTGGGGTTTAGTTTTGGTTTTTGCCTTTCCCATAAGAACAGGATATGTCACAAACTGAATCCATCAATCCATTTGGTTGAATGCACAGCCACTGTTAGATTTCAATACAAAGAGAAATGCAGATGCGTTAGCCCCAAACACCCTTTGAGCTCTGACAAAGTTGCTTTACCTTCTGTAGAAGAATTCCTTCCTGAACAGCAATAAGACAAAGATGACTTTCGATTGCTCTTTTCAAAGAGTATATCACAGTGGCCCATCTTCTTCCTGCTCTTCCTCATTCAGACTAAGTTGTTGTTCTTCTCTGCAGCCATGATCTGTAGCCACAGGAACATACAAAAGGAGAGACAACACCAGACGTGAAATTATATTACAGATTACAAGCATTGCGGCAAGACATGTAGTTGCTCTATACTACTATTAACAACGACAAGAACATATATTAAGCTATTTATACCCAACAAACAATATTTCATCAACTATATCATAAACCATGTGGACATAATTTTGCACTAGTAATTTACTTCATGCACAAAATTATAAGACGGCAAGGCATGTTATTAAAATGTAGTTCATTTCCATGCCCTTGGGCAGGGCAAACGATTCATTATGTCCTAGTACTGTATTATGTTTTCGGCATTTTAACACCAATTTCCCAAGAGCAAAAAGCTTGATATGAAACAATATTGCCCAATAAGGTTGATCAGCTGGTACGATTTTCATGCAATAAAGTTCCTTTCTATTATAGATTTGAAATCCTAAATCAGGGGACATTTAAAAACACATTTTAAGTAGCCATTAACCACTGTCCACCCCAAAATAAAGTGTAACCTTATATGAAACACTACTACGCTAACCTTTGAGACAGGTTTTCCAGGGCCATAACCAAACATAAGGTTGGCAGCTGGATTAATAATAATAATAATAATAAATTTTATTTATATCCCGCCCTCCCCAGCCGAGCCGGGCTCAGGGCGGCTAACAACAGTCAAATAACAATCAAATAATAGCACATTCTAAAAATATTTCGTTATAAAAATTAGTTAAAATCAAATTGATGGCAACCGATTAAACAAAATTCTGTGCAGGTTGCCGGAGGAGGGAGTCAGGCTGCGCCCTGACCAAAAGCTTGGCGGAACAACTCTGTCTTGCAGGCCCTGCGGAAAGATGTCAGATCCCGCAGGGCCCTAGTCTCTTGTGACAGAGCATTCCACCAGGTTGGAGCTGCAGCCGAAAAGGCCCTGGCTCTAGTTGAGGCCAGCCTAACCTCTCTGAGGCCTGGGACCTTGAGGGTGTTATTATTTGTAGACCGTAGGTTTCTCTGTGGGGCATACCAGGAGAGGCGGTTTAGACCTTAAAACAAAGGCACTGGTGCAAGCGGATCACTTACTCCTTTGTCTTTGCAACCTGCCATGCTCTCTGCCCCAGGGAAGCAGCAATTTATTTATTGCATTTATATTCCACCTTTCCTCCAAGCAGTTCAAGTTGACATACATACTTCTCATCCTTCCCAATTTATTCTCACAACAACCCTGTGAGGAAGGTTAGGCTGAGAAAAAGTGACTGGTCCAAGGTCACCAAGTGATCTTCATGGTTGCATGGGGATTTTGAACCCTGAACTGCAGCTATTCAAAAGTGGCTATGCTGCATTACTGCACCGTTTTTTGGGGGGAAATAAAGGGGGGGAAAATATTTTTTTTTTCCCCAGGTGCGGGGCTGGGGCGGGGAAAGCCCGAGCTTCCCCCAACCCCAGCCCCCAGAACAGGCTGCTATCCACAAGCCGTGGGAGAGCTGCACGACTTCGCGCAGCTCTCCCACGGCTAGCGGAGAGCTGTGCGAAGCCCAATGCTTACGGCGTGCTGAGCTCAGCGCGCCTCAAGCTTCTGGGTGCAGGCAAGCTCTCCGCTAGCCGCAGGAGAGCTGCGCGACTTCACGCAGCTCTCCCACGGCTAGCGGAGAGCTGTGCGAAGCCTGGAGAGCGAGAGGGGTCGGTGCGCACCGACCTCCTTCGCTCTCCAGGCTTCCGCGAAAACCTGCATTCACCCCATAGGACGCATACACATTTCCCCTTCATTTTTGGAGGGGGGAAAGTGCGTCCTATAGGGCGAAAAAGACGGTAAATAATTCTAAAAAACCAAAGCTGTAAAGCACCACTGCTATGATCCTAATGGCTTCTTAAGGATTCCGAGTCACCTTGTGACCTCTACCAAAACAAAGTGTAACAAGGCAACAGAAGAGGTTTTAAAAGACAGAGGAATCTGTGCTAGACAGCTGTTCCTCACTTGCCTTACACATAAGATGATGAACTAGAAGTGAAAACAGAGGTTTGTGCCACAAAAGCCACAGCCAGGAATTACTTCAGTCAGTCAGTCAGTCAGTCAGTCAGTCAGTCATCTTGAAGACCATTTTCAAATAAAACTTTATTCTCTCAGCAAACAGTTTTGGAAACATGGATCAAACATTACACATCAGGCCATACAACAAATAGATCTAGGAAAAATGCTCTGATATTACACATTAGGTCATCTCTTAACTGCACATCAATTTTCTTATTTGCACATCAATTCTCACTAAAGTTACTAAATGAGTGGTGTGAAAAAGTATCTCTAGAACTTTAGTAAAGGACTTTTGACAGAAAATAAGAACATAATCACAGCTTTAATATTACATAGGCTTTGCTAATTAACTTTTACCTAAAGTTGATAGCTCATGCTTCATGAAAATAACTTTTTAGATTAGCACAAGAGTTCTATGTCTGTTCTGAAGTTTAATTCAAAGCAAGGATATTCTAACACAAGCTGAAGTATTTATATTCAAACCTTAAATACGGCACATTAATTCAAGAGTAATACAGAAATCAGATTCTGTACTTTTAAGTCACCTACTGCTGTCATACGTACCATGATAGTGAAAAAGTGTTACAGTAAACGGGAATGGTAACTTTTTACACATCAACAGCAGAATTCTGTTCAGTAGATTTAAGAATACAATCCTAAGTGAGGATGAGTGTGTAGATCACCTGCCCCGTCCAAACATCTACCAGCTAGGGCAAAACAACAACATTTTCAACCCCCACAGAAATAGTTACCGTATTTCAATGCTAGTGCAGATGGAATGTTCCTGGGGTCTATCCAAGGAAAAATAGGGCCTTGGATCTAGCAGATCCAAAGAGCCTTCATCCTGCTCCTGGAATCCCCTGCTTCAGAGTTCAAAACTGACTACTAGCACCAAGAAGACACCAATGGTGGATGTATGCCCACAAAGCTTTCTGCGGGAATAGAGCAGGTCTCTGAGTTGACATTGCCCCTCACTGGTGAACCAGATTATGGGGCGGGGGGAGGTGGTTGCTCTGTAAGACCATAGTAAACCCAGCTGCCAATTTTGCTTAACCACTTTCCATTCACACTTACTGTATTTTTCGTCCCATAGGACGCTCCGTCCCATAGGACGCACCTAGTTTTTTTTTGGGGGGGGGGAAATAAAGGAAATTTTTTCCCTTTATTTCCCCCCCAAAAGCAGGTCGGGGAAACCGAACCAGGTCGAGGAACAGCGGGATGGCGGTGCTGCACCTCCCTGCTGTCCCCCGAGCTTGTGGGGCTGGCCGATGTCTGGGCGGCGCAAGGGGCACTCTGCTTCAGGGCGCCCTGCCCGCCGGGCGGCAGGCTGCTATCCGCAGCGTGGGGAGCCCTGCGGGGAACTCCTGCAGGGCTCCCCACGCTGCGGATGTCTGCCCGGCGGGAGGGGCGCTCTGCTTCAGGGCGCACCGCCCACCGGGCGGCAGGCTGCTATCTGCAGCGTGGGGAGCCCTGCGGGGAAGTCCCGCAGGGCTGCCTAGGCTGCGGAGGTGTTCCCGAAGCACCAGGCGCTCTGCTTTCAGGGCGCCCGACGCTCCGGGAAGCAGGCTGCTATCCGCAGCCTAGACAGCCCTGCGGGACCTCCCGCAGGGCTGCCTAGGCTGCGGATGTGTTCCCGAAGCGCTGGAGCTCTGCTTTCAGCGCGCCTGGCGCTCCGGGAAGCAGGCTGCTATCCACAGCCTAGACAGCCCTGCGGGAACTCCCGCAGGGCTGCCTAGGCTGCGGATGTCTTCCTGAAGCCTGTAGAGCGAGAGGGGTCAGTGCGCACCGACCTCTCTCGCTCTCCAAGCTTCAGCGAAAGCCTGCATTCGCCCCATAGGACACACCCAGATTTCCCCTTCATTTTTGGAGGGCGAAAAGTGCATCATATAGGGCAAAAAATACGGTAAGTTAAACCCGGGCATTAACCCTGCTCCAAAAATCCTTAAGATGTAGTGTTTGTGGGTGGGGCGAAGAGATATAGTAATCTTATGCATTCATTCAGAAGAGTTAAAGATCCCCCATGCATGTGTCATTGTTTTACTTATGGGTTACTGTTATGTTCTGCTTTCCAGTGAACATTTGTGCAACAAATAAGGGAGATCTCACAAGTTTTAGATAATATGCTACAAATCAGACCATTTTCTTACATGCTTAATGATGACATTATCTGTATCCTCCAAGCCTCATTATTCCAATTATTAAAGGTAAAGGTACCCCTGCCCGTACGGGCCAGTCGTGACCGACTCTGGGGTTGTGCGCCCATCTCGCTTAAGAGGCCGGGGGCCAGCGCTGTCCGAAGACACTTCCGGGTCACGTGGCCAGCGTGACGAAGCTGCTCTGGCGAGCCTGCACCAGCGCAGCACACAGAAACGCCGTTTACCTTCCCACTATAAAGCGGTACCTATTTATCTACTTGCACTTAAGGGTGCTTTCGAACTGCTAGGTGGGCAGGAGCTGTGACCGAACGACGGGAGCTCACCCCGCCGCGGGGATTCGAATCGCCGACCATACGATCGGCAAGTCCTAGGCGCTGAGGTTTTACCCACAGCGACACCCGCGTCCCTATTCCAATTATTAAAGTGCAACAATTTCACAAATCAAGGGCACATCTACAGGGCAGAGGACTTATGAAGATGTTGCAGTTGCACTTCCACATACAATAGCTCAAGCGAGAGAATAGACCTTGAAATGTCCTGGTTATTCCCCTATTGCTTACAGCACAACAGAATTTAGGCAGCAAAAGTTTGCTTTACAGCCTATAAAACGATTAGCTCTCTGTTGTAATCTATGCTCAAACTAGAGAGAGAGAACACTTCCTTGAAGCATTAGGTATTCTGCCCTTGGCTCTTCTCCCAGCCTCAAGCAATGGCTTGCCATAAGATCCTTCAGCACAGTATCTTGCACGGCTCTAATATGCACTCCCCACGCCACTAGTTCCTTCTAACATAGGACTAGGAAATCTAGGGCCCTTCAGATATTGCTGGACCACAACTTCCTTCAACCCTGTTGTCATGCTTTCTGGGGTTGAAAGCATTTGAAAGCAAATGAGGGACTCCTCATTTCTTTTTTGTGTGCAGTATATGCTGGGCATTTTTGATTCCCTGCATTGAACAGGTAAAACTAGGTCACCTAACAGCTGAACCACACAGGTGGGTATTCTAATTTGAGGACACTGCTCTAGCATCAAGGTCTGTAATCCAGAGGTGGGGAACTGGCTCTTCAGAAGCTGTTGGGACTGTAACTGAACTATGCCTGGGTCTGATGAAAGTTGGGAGTGCAGCAACATCTTTCCTTATCCTTTAACTAAGGGCTCATCCACACTTCCACTTGTCCTGTGCCTAGAAAGCACAGGTCTTACAATTTCCCACTTATATTGTGTTTTTAGGGACGAGTCCAAGTTGTTTTGCATTTGCTGTATAGGTTTTGCTGGGAAAACATGCTCTTTACCACTGGACCAAACAGCAATCTGTTGAAAACAGTAACCTGTGGGGGTTTTTGGGGGGGGAGAATGGGGGGCAAATGGAGGTGTGGACAAGCCCTAACAGAACCAATCAGAAATCTGCAACATGCTAAGGGACGTCCCAGACTGGTTTTCTGTTGTGTTTGCATGTGTATTTTGCAACGTCATTGATGAACTAATGGTGTATTCGTAACAATTTATACTGGACCACCATACATCATTCTGTTTTATCTACTGTTCTATGATACTCCTCCCTCCTCCTGAAAAAAAGGCCTCATGGCTTCTTTCAACTACAGTTGTACCTCTGGTCATGAACTTAATTTGTTCCGGAGGTCCGTTCCTAACCTGAGGTACCACTTTAGCTAATGGGGCCTCCTGCTGCCACTGTCGTGCGATTTTTGTTCTCATCCTGAGGTAAAGTTCTTAACCTGAGGTGCGGAGTCTGTAACCCAAGGTGTTTGTAACCTGAGGTACCACTGTACCAGGTCCTGAATTTCTTTCACCAGAACATGAATTCTTCCCAACAGATCCTTTCCTCAGAAACGGTGCCAGTCGCTTTTCTAAATCATCCCACTATGTGGAGGATTCTCTACCAACTGTTTTTTAAAACTTAAACATGTGGATGCGCATGCATTTGCGTATCTACTGTAAACTGATCTGGGCAGGGACATGTCTTTCTTGTGGCCATTCTGTGTTGTTGTTTTTTAAAGACTATGTACGTCATGCACATTGCATTGGTGCTTTATATTTCTGTATAAATAGACCCTCCCTTTCTCCAAAGTGCTTAGGGCAGAGGGCACGGGGCTTCTTTCTTCTTCTTACTTGCCTCACCCAACCCATCTTTTAAAGCTCCCATCAACTCCCATGAAGTGATTTGAAGCCAACTCTGTCCCAAGTAAAACATTTGCCGCTGAACACCGTGGCTGCCGAGGCGTCTGCCCCCGCCCTATTACCCCGATGACCACATACTGATGACTTGCTTTTTTTATTAAAACAAAAACGCACCAAAATTGCATATTGACTACACAACAAAGTTCTCAAGGCAGTTTGCAAGACTACATATAGATATACAGTGGTACCTCAGGTTACATATGCTTCAGGTTACATATGCTTCAGGTTACATATGCTTCAGAACAGAAATTGTGCAGCAGCAGCGCAGCAGCAGCAGGGAGACCCCATTAGCTAAAGTGGTGCTTCAGGTTAAGAACAGTTTCAGGTTAAGAACGGACCTCCGGAACGAATTAAGTTCATAACCAGAGGTACCACTGTAGTTGAAAGAAGCCATGTGAGGCCTTTTTCAGGAGGAGGGAGGAGGCATTTACATAAATATAGCTCCAGAAACAATACTTTCTACACAAATAAGTAGTAACTAGGCAGAACAACTTTTTTCATACACACATGAACTATTGACAAGTCCATTCTTGAAAGCAACCACCTTTCATTATTTAAGCACTACTTCCTCCAGTTTAACATCCAAGCCAAAGTCATTGTTTGTGTACAGCTTTTAGAGAGGGTTAGTGCTCGTAACTCTAAAAATAACCTATGAAACAAACTGGTGATTTTATGTGATATTTCATGAAAGCTTTAAGTCATCTTTTTGCACTTCGTTCCGGAACGAATTAAGTTCTTAACCCGAGGTACCACTGTATTACACACAGACAGACCCGAAGCCTCTGGGATAACTAAGTCGGTAGAGTTAGATCAACCTCAGGCCGTGAGTTCGAGCCCCGAGCTGGGCAAAAGGGGGTTGGTCTAGATGACCCTCGGGGGTTCCTTTCCAACTCCACGGTTCTACAAAATGGCCACAGCTCGCCAGCTTCTCTCCTCCACCCCAGGTTTGCCCTTCGCAGCACAAGCCTGGGAAGGTGCGCTCTGAGGTAAGCCCCACTGAGCCAAATTGGGGTGGGGGCAGCCCAACATTTACGAAATGTGCAAAGGGAGGGGGAAGAAAGAGGAGCCTCAGTCAGGGTATCCGACACTCCCAACAGCGATATACAGTGGTACCTCAGGTTACATACGCTTCAGGTTACATACGCTTCAGGTTTCAGACTCCGCTAACCCAGAAATAGTGCTTCAGGTTAAGAACTTTGCTTCAGGATGAGAACAGAAATCGTGTGGCGGCGGCAGGAGGCCCCATTAGCTAAAGTGGTGCTTCAGGTTAAGAACAATTTCAGGTTAAGAACGGACCTCCGGAACGAATTAAGTTCTTAACCTGAGGTACCACTGTATTACACACAGACAGACCCGAAGCCTCTGGGATAACTAAGTCGGTAGAATTAGATCAACCTCAGGCCGTGAGTTCGAGCCCCGAGCTGGGCAAAAGGGGGTTGGTCTAGATGACCCTCGGGGGTTCCTTTCCAACTCCACGGTTCTACGAAACGGCCACAGCTGGCCAGCTTCTCTCCTCCACCCCAGGTTTCCCCTTCGCAGCATAAGCCTGGGAAGGTAAGCCCCACCGAGTCCAAATTGGGGTGGGGGCAGCCAGCGAAATATGCAAAGGGGGGGAGAAAGAGGAGCCTCAGTCGGGGTCTCCGACACTCCCAACAGCCCCCTCAGACGCGGGCTCCCCGCATCGCGACGGCCCCCTCAGATAACCGGGAGCTCCGGCGGTCTCCCCTCCCCGCCCATTCCTCCCTTCATTTCCTCTCAGGCGCCCCCACTTACCTCAGAAACAAACACACGCCCGCCCTCCAACGTCACCCCGCCGCATACGCGAGACCAGGCTCGCTCTCCGCCACCTGCACCCGCTTCAAGCACCCGCTAGGCCCCGCTCGGAACCCGCCGTCGCTCCGCAACCCCGAATTTCCCTTCTATTTTCTTCTCTTTTTTTCCCCCCCAACCCGCCGCCGCCGCCGCCGCCGCCGCCGGAAACACGCCAGATTCAACCCGGATGCGCGACCCCGCCCACACAGCGGTGTAACCCGAGCCGCGACCGCTCTAGCCAATGGCGGGGCTTTGTGGTTTAGGTTGCCTCCGCCTTCTCCAGACCAGAGAAAAAGAGCGGGTGGGCGTGGTCCTTTCCGCTGGGGGCGGGGCCTAGATGGCGCTGATGCTTAGAATGCCGCGTTTCTGTTTGATCCCGCTGACTCGAGAGACGTCCGAGGCTGCACATCCTGGGGGGGACGCGGGTGGCGCTGTGGTCTAAAACCACTGAGCCTCTTGGAATTGCTCGTTCAGAAGGCCGGCGGCTCGAATCCTCCACGATCGGGGTGAACCTTACATTTGACCTTACAAGAGCAGTCTCTGAGATCAGAATAACTAAACATTATCCACATTCCTTGTTTTGGGGAAGAACCTGGTTTTTCCAGCTCTTGCATAATCTCCATTGTAACTTTTAAAGTTTCTAAACAACTTCACCCTTCCCCATCTGTAGGATCAAAATTACAGTGTGTGATTTGGTCTCAGTCCTGTATTGTACAACCCTTTTAAAATTGACCTAATGAAAAGAAAGGGCTGTCTTCAGATGGCTCCAGGGTCAAATAACTCCATGCCCTCCAGCTTTTCTCCAGTGAAAATAGCGACATCTTACCATATGTTCCAACATTTCTCTGATGAAAATAGTGACATCCTAAGAAAAACCTGTGGGTTAAACCACAGAGCCTAGGATTTGCCGATCAGAAGGTTGGCAGTTTGAATCCCTGCGATGGGGTGAGCTCCCGTTGCTCGGTCCTTGCTCCTGCCAACCTAGCAGTTCGAAAGCAGGTCAAATCATAGAATCACAGAGTCATAGAGTTGGAATAGACCACAAGGGCCATCGAGTCCAACCCCCTGCCAAGCAGGAAACACCATCAGAGCACTCCTGACATATGGTTGTCAAGCCTCTGCTTAAAGACCTCCAAAGAAGGAGACTCCACCACACTCCTTGGCAGCAAATTCCACTGTCGAACAGCTCTTACTGTCAGGAAGTTCTTCCTAATGTTTAGGTGGAATCTTCTTTCTTGTAGTTTGGATCCATTGCTCCGTGTCCGCTTCTCTGGAGCAGCAGAAAACAACCTTTCTCCCTCCTCTATATGACATCCTTTTATATATTTGAACATGGCTATCATATCACCCCTTAACCTCCTCTTCTCCAGGCTAAACATGCCCAGCTCCCTTAGCCGTTCCTCATAAGGCATCGTTTCCAGGCCTTTGACCATTTTGGTTGCCCTCCTCTGAACACGTTCCAGTTTGTCAGTGTCCTTCTTGAACTGTGGTGCCCAGAACTGGACACAGTACTCCAGGTGAGGTCTGACCAGAGCAGAATACAGTGGCACTATTACCTCCCTTGATCTAGATGCTATACTCCTATTGATGCAGCCCAGAATTGCATTGGCTTTTTTAGCTGCCGCGTCACACTGTTGGCTCATGTCAAGTTTGTGGTCAACCAAGACTCCTAGATCCTTTTCACATGTACTGCTCTCAAGCCAGGTGTCACCCATCTTGTATTTGTGCCTCTCATTTTTTTTGCCCAAGTGCAATACTTTACATTTCTCCCTGTTAAAGTTCATCTTGTTTGTTTTGGCCCAGTTCTCTAATCTGCCAAGGTCGTTTTGAAGTGTGATCCTGTCCTCTGGGGTGTTAGCCACCCCTCCCAGTTTGGTGTCATCTGCAAATTTGATCAGGATGCCCTTGAGTCCATCATCCAAGTCGTTGATAAAGATGTTGAATAAGACCGGGCCCAAGACAGAACCCTGTGGCACCCCACTAGTCACTCTTCTCCAGGATGAAGAGGAACCATTGATGAGCACCCTTTGGGTTCGGTCAGTCAGCCAGTTACAAATCCACTGAGTGGTAGCATAGTCAAGACCGCATTTTACCAGCTTCTCTACAAGAATATAATGGGGCACCTTGTTGAATGCCTTGCTGAAATCAAGGTAGGCTACATCCACTGCGTTCCCTTCATCTACGAGGCTTGTAATTCTGTCAAAAAACGTCAAAGGTACTGCTCTGGCGGGAAGGTAAACAGCGTTTCCATGTGCTGCTCTGGTTCGCCAGAAGCGGCTTAGTCCTGCTGGCCACATGACCTGGGAGCTGTACGCCGGCTCCCTTGGCCAATAAAGTGAGATGAGCACTGCAATCCCAGAGTCGGCCACGACTGGACCTAATGGTCAAGGGTCCCTTTACCTTTACCTAAGGAAAAGCAGGACATTCTGGGATCAAATAAGAAACCAGGACAGCATCTGTAAATCCGAGAGTGTCCCTGGAAAATAGGGACATTTGAAGAGTTTGTGATGGTTTCTAAACCAGATGCAGTACCTCTATCAAGAATGAAGAAGGAATTCACAGTGATAGAAACCAGCCATCTTTTGAAAACGTTGTGGCATGAGTTGATCGGGCTGTACACCTGCTGATTTGTCATGTATACACATTTTGTCATATCATGAATGCTGTGTGAATCAACTCACAAGTGTGACAACACAAAACAACCACAGTGCAAAAAGTGTATCATTTCAGACATGCCAATAAAGATCAAGGCCAAAAGTGTATCATATTAGCATCACTTTTGCTTTATTTTTAATTAAATACTATGAGTGGTCATGATATTTATGTAGAATCCAGTGCTTACGTCATAGCTGTCAACGTTTCCCTTTTTTAAAGGGAATAGGATAGGATTCCTCGCAAGAAAGGGGGAAAGTTGACAGCTATGGCTTACATGAGTATCTTTCTGCGTTGGAAATATATATCTATTTAATGCATTCATTCATTCATGATTCGTTCAACTAACTTGAAAAGTCAAGCCTTCGGAGCATCAAGTGCAAAATAGCTGGAAATTATTCTCGAAGAATTTCACAGCACCCTCTGCTATCGATTTTTTAAACGCATCAGTTGGTGATACTGTCACTTTAATACTTTATTTGCCTCCAATTGGTTGAAAGATTGGAACATTCCTGCATGTCGAAGGAAAGCCTCGCCACGCGATTGGCTGCGCTGGACGCAGCAGGATACTTCCTGGAATGTCTGCAACCCAACGTTCCTCCAGGTCTGTTTCACTGGAAAAGTGGTGGTCGAGGTCTTCTTTTATTCGAAATGTAATTAATAGACTCGGAATGGTTGGTAAGGAGAATGTGGGAGTTTAATAAGCTCTCCTGTACTTTGCGTACGGCAGGGAAAAATATCGGTGCATGTTGCAGGGCTGGTTGAATCCATGTTTCGTGGGGGAGGCGGGAGGCGGTTGGGGAACTGCTCACCAGTATATTTACTAACTTAACAATCATATAATCATGGAATTGTATAGTTGAAAGGGACCTTGAGGGTCGTGGAGTTTTTAACTTATTTTCCTCCCGTTTGAATATTAATCACGGTGCAGAAATTTAAGTATCAGCCGATCGATCTTTGCGTAACCCAGAAGGGAAACCGGCAGCAAAATTAAATAGCCAGGAGATCAGTTTTGCATGTGTTGATCAGATCGGTGGTGGAAGATCTGCAAAAAAAGCAAGGTGTCTTTTCCTTCCAGGCGTGTGTGAACTGTAACACAAGCAAGGATGCTATACCGTTTTCTTGAAACCAGTCTTCTACACATGCCAAAGAAGTCTTTCGTGTACGGTGCTCAAAACAGGTAATAAAGATCAGTGTGGACCCTTTAAACTGATAGCAGGGCAGGTTGATAATTTGCATAAAAATAGAGTATTCACATCCATAGCAATAACAGCAGCTGTAGTGCTTTAAGTGTTGCTGGAATTTGCGCATGAGCAGAGACAGAAATGGAAGAGAATTGTTGACCTTTTACTTGTTCATTGAATGGCACTCTTCAAATCATGTTATTAGCTGTAAATCTTGGAGTGTGTAAAAGAGGGTGATCTTCTGCTTGTGTTCAAAGATTGTAATCAGTTGAAGCTCTTATAAAGTTAAGGGTTAAAAATATTGTGGTGTCAGGATGGGGTTCTTTTACAAACTCAAAACAACATCTCCAGAACGTTTTGTGGGTTTTTTTGCATTTCTGTCTGTTGAGATTTTTAAAGAATGTGACCAGGGCAATTGATCTGACACTAATCTAGTTCAAAAATCAAAATGCCATGAACACAAAATTCCAAAATCAGAGACTGGAACTAAGCAAAAGAGCCTATTTTTCTCACATCTGATGGATATTTTCGTAACTGCCTTTCTGTTTATAAATCGGTCTTGCCTACTTTCTATAGGGATGCGGGTGGCGCTGTGGGTTAAACCACAGAGCCTAGGACTTGCTGATCAGAAGGACTGCGGTTTGAATCCCCGCAACGGGGTGAGCTCCCGTTGCTCGGTCCCTGCTCCTGCCAACCTAGCAGTTCGAAAATACGTCAAAGTGCAAGTAGATAAATAGGTACCGCTCTGGCAGGAAGGTAAACGGCGTTTCCGTGTGCTGCTCTGGTTCGCCAGAAGCGGCTTAGTCATGCTGGCCACATGACCCGGAAGCTGTACGCTGGCTCCCTTGGCCAATAAAGTGACATGAGAGCCGCAACCCCAGAGTCGGTCACTCTTTATCTTTACCTTTACTTTCTATATCATGTGGATAATCTGTACCTTCCCCACCCCAAATGTTGCTGGTCTACAGCTCCCAGCATTTTCTGATGACTGGCCATGATGGCTGGGGTGGAAACAACATCTGAAAGTCCACAGGTTGGCCACCTGTTCTTTCATATCAACTGACATATACCAGATTTCTTAAAAATCATTCTTGGCATTCTGTTCAAAATTGTTGATTTGCGGAATTTTTCACACAGAATGACGGGGGGAAAGAGTAATACAAAACATCTTGAAATTGATAAAATTTGGACAGTCTAATTCTGGAAGCTAGGAATAGCAGCTGCGCTTGTGTCTACATGGTGGAACTTCTGAAATTTGGACACATTTGAAACATGCCTTCCTTTGTCCTTAGAGGAAGTCACAAAATAACAGTGCCTCTGCTCAAGGTTAAAATAACAAGGTTTTATTATTATCTACTGCAGTCAGCACCTTTTTCATTTGTTCTGTTTGCTGGATATTAAGACATAATAATAATAATAATAATAATAATAATAATAATAATAATAATAATTGTTTACTCAGATACTGGAAATCAAAAGCCATTCAAAATGACGACAGAAACATTGGTGAAGGATATTAAACCAGGCTTGAAAAACCTCAATCTTATATTCATTGTTCTAGAAACAGGTGAGTGCTCTGCAGATGACAATGGCTAACATGCTTTAAAAACCTATTGCAGTACAGCTGAGAGGTCCGTCTGCTTCCTTGTTTCACAGAATCATATTAAAAGACATAGAACCATCACATTATTTTACTTTATTAATTATGGGCTGCACATGGACTTGCTTCTATCAATAGCCAATGAAAGGTGACATTGCATGATCAATATTAGTATTTCTGAATAGGATTCTTTGAAATGCAGAAGCAGACTGGATTGCTGTCAGGCTGAGTGCAGCTTATGGAAGAATCTAAGGATCTTTTACTCTTGCCTTAAAAAAACCCACAACTTGTGCTTTTAGCACAGTGTTTTTATCTGGATTCAGAAAAGTGTTGTGCTATATTGAGTGTTGTGGGTTCCTTGGACTGTCATCTCGTACTGATGCACCCTGTTGCAAGTCAGAATATTGTCACCTCATTTATATAGCATGCATTGCAAATCCATATCACTTGCATTGTCAATAATACTCCTAGGTTCCTTTCTTGTTAATGCCGTACAAGTTGAGGGTGCCCTTTCCTCTCCCCTTTACAGGAATGTTTCATTTTCTTCTTCTTCTGGTGATAAAGAGCTGCGCTCTGCAAATGTTTCCATGGGGTGGGATTGGCACAGAGCTGCTTCCCAGCCTGTACTTCTGGCCTGAAAGCAGAAACACCCTTTTAGCTGCCTTGAATTTTGGTAACCATGAATTTTGCTAACCATTCCTACCGGAATGTCCCAGAAACTCCAGCGGGTGCAGAATGCTGCAGCAAGGCTCCTCACGGGGTTTCTGCCATGGAAGCATATTCACCCAGTGCTTTTCCAGCTGCACTGGCTCCCGGTGGAGTACAGGGTCAGATTTAAGGTGCTGGTTTTGACCTTTAAAGCCCTTCACGGCCCTCGTACCTACGGGACTGCCTCTCCTGGTATGCCCCACGGAGGACCTTACGGTCCATAAATAGCAACACCCTAGAGGTCCCGGGCCCTAAGGAAGTTAGATTAGCCTCAACCAGAGCCAGGGCTTTTTCAACACTGGCCCCGGCCTGGTGGAACGCTTTGCCTCATGAGACCAGGGCCCTGCAGGATCTGATTTCTTTCTGCAGGGCCTGTAAGACAGAGTTGTTCCGCCTGGCCTTTGGCTTGGAGCCAATTTGATTCCCTCCCCCTCTTTCTTTTTTCCTTTCTCCTACTGTAATGAGGCTGCATTTTAATGTTTTAATGTTGTATTTTAATCTTGTTTTTAAGTTGTATGCATTCAACTTGTTTTTATTATTGGTTGTTGGCTGCCCTGAGCCCGGCCTTGGCTGGGGAGGGCGGTGTATAAATAAAATTTATTATTATTATTGCCACCAGGCCGGGTTACCAAGACCAAGGATGGCCATGAAGTGCGGACGTGTAAAGTAGCCGACAAAACTGGCAGCATAAACATCTCTGTGTGGGACGATGTTGGCAACCTCATCCAACCAGGAGACATCATCCGACTCACCAAAGGGTATGGACCACCTTTCCAATAGGAGTGCGATAGGAGAAAGTGGGGAAATTGGATGTTCCTTTCTCTAAGTGGAGCTTTAGCCCCAGCCCCAGAAGTAACAGGTAGTTGGACCCATTTTAGGCTTTTTCAGGTATACGCCTAAGATCACATAGTATAAGAATAAGAATAATAAGAATAATATATAATCCAGGTGGGGGCAGCTCACCTGCTTAATCTTTCTGTCCACATTCTTAGCCCTTATCTTAGCTCTTATCTTCCTTGCACAATACACATCCCACAATATAATAATAATAATATATTATTATTATTATTATTATTATTATTATTATTATTTATTTATACATACATACATACATACCCTGCCCATCTGGTTGGGTTTCCCCAGCCACTCTGTGCAGCTCCCAACAGAACATTAAAAACTTCCCTAAACAGGGCTGCCTTCAGATGTCTTCTAAAAGTCAGATAGTTATTTATTTCCTTGACATCTGATGGGAGGGCATTCCACAGGGCGGGCACCACTACTGAGAAGGTCCTCTGCCTGGTTCCCTGTAACCTCACTTCTCACAGTGAGGGAACCGCCAGAAGGCCCTCGGCGCTGGACCTCTGGGCTGAATGATGGGGGTGGAGACGCTCCTTCGGGTATACTGGGCCAAGTCCATTTAGGGCTTTAAACGTCAGCACCAACACTTTGAGTTGTGCTTGGAAACATACTGGCAGCCAATGTAGGTCTTTCAGGACTGGTGTTAGATGGGCTCGGCGGCCACTCCCAGTCACCAGTCTAGCTGCCACATTCTGGATTAATTGTAGTTTCTGGGTCACCTTCAAAGGTAGCCCCACATAGAGTGCACTGCAATAGTCCAAGCAGGAGATAACCAGAGCATGCACCACTCTGGCAAGACAGTCTGCAGGCAGGTAGGGTCTCAGCCAGCATACCAGATGGAGCTGGTAGACAGCTGCCCTGGACACAGAACTGACCTGTACTTCTGTGGACAGTTGTGAGTCCAAAATAACTCCCAGGCTGTGCACCTGGTCCTTCAGCGGCAAGTTACCCCATTCAGGAGCGTAGGAAGTCACCTTGAACCAAGTCAGGCCCTTGGTCCATCTGTCTGAGTCCTGTCTGTGCTGCCTGGTAGCAGTGGCGTAGCGTGGGTTGTCAGCACCCGGGGCAAGGCAAGTAATTTGCGCCCCCTAACCCATGGATTTGCGCCCCCTAACCCTAACCCCCAGATGTTGCGCCCGGTGCGGCCGGCCCCCCTGCACCCCCCCACGCTACGCCACTGCCTGGTAGTGGCTTTCCAGGGTTTCATGTGTTTAAACTAATTCAGAATGAATTTCAGCGCTGGCTCCAGGATCTTGGATGGGGAGAGCACAGTTTAATCTGGGAGGATGTGCAGAGAATTATCCTCTTGACCTGCCTGTGATCTCCTTGGGTGTTCTGTGCGAAATGGGAATAGCAGTACTGCTGGTGTGACCCAACTTTGCCAGCTCCAATTAGTTAAACTGAGTGTTTCTTTTTTATTATTATTATTTGTTTGATACCCAGCAGCTGAAGGGCAACATTCTGAACTTCATCCAGAGGAAGTAAAAAGTGCTTAACAGTGCAACCCTATACCTGTCTACTCAGAAGTAAGTTCCACTGAGTTCAGTGGAGCTTACTCCCAGGTAAGTGGGTATAGGATTGCAGCTTAAGGCTTCTTAGCTGTAATGAGACTTAAAAATGTGCAGATTATGCCCAATAGTATCCAGAAATGCACAGAAACTCAATTGACTTAACTGAGAAGACAGGTGGACTATTTTATACTGAAATGTGGGGTAACAAATTTTATAAATAGAACAATATGCATCATACAACTGGAGAACAACTTTATGCGTCTGTGCTTCAAGGTACCCCCAAATCGGGTATTTTGTTTTGAGCTGGTGCATTTTCCACCTATAAGAGGAATGTTGTGCTGTTCCTAACCATGGGTCCCTCTCTCCTAGGTATGCATCTGTTTTCAAAGGCTGCCTGACCTTATACACTGGACGTGGAGGAGACTTGCAGAAAGTTGGAGAGTAAGGCCTGTAATTGGCTTATGACAATATTGCTTTTTTGGAACTGGAGGTTTGGTACATGGTTGATTTTTTTTTAAGTTCAGACACACAGCCAGATTCCCACCAAAGGATAGTATTTGCTCCAGGGGCTATCACCACCATAAGTCAAGGAGGCAGCTTCCAAGTTAGAAAAGACTGGTGACTACTTTGCATGCTGACCGCACCATAATAAACGGTTCAGGCTACAGTTAGCAAATGTATTGAACATTGAGAGGCATTGCTTGCATAAGAATCTCTCCCCCCTGCCCTCCATAAAGGTAAAGGGACCCCTGACCATTAGGTCCAGTCGTGGTTGACTGTGGGGTTGCGGCACTCATCTTGCTTTATTGGCCGAGGGAGCCGGCGTACAGCTTCCGGGTCATGTGGCCAGCATGACAAAGCTGCTTCTGGCGAACCAGAGCAGTGCACGGAAACACTGTTTACCTTCCCGCCAGAGCGGTACCTATTGATCTACTTGCACTTTGACATGCTTTCGAACTGCTAGGCTGGCAGGAGCAGGGACCGAGCAACGCGAGCTCACCCCGCTGCGGGGATTCCAACCGCCGACCTTCTGATCGGCAAGTCCTAGGCTCTGTGGTTTAACCCACAGTGCCACCCACGTCCCGTCTGCCCTCCATAACTGTACTACAAATGCTCATTATTTTTTAATTAACTCTGTAGGATAAATACCCCTCTGTGCATTTCAAAAGGCATCCACTAATTTGTAATCTAAGGCAAACGCCTTTCTACCTCCCTTACAAATGATTCCCATTTCCCCCCCTAGGATGTTTCTATGAAAAGACCCACCATTCCTGAGCTTTTATGCTCGAGTAATTATATGAGTAATATTGGCTGGGGTTGATGGTGGCTTGTAGGTGGGGGTCTTCAGGTTGTTCCCACGTGCTGCTGCCTTTAACGGAAACTCTCTTGAGTGAACTTGCACAGCTGCTGCTACCCATTTCTGAAATTGTTTTTCTTCTTCTTTTCAATAGTATGGACATTAGATTACCCATAGCCTGGGGAAAAAACATGCATGCTGTCAGGTTTTGATTTTGACAGCTTGAGATTTTATTTTACCTTCCCTCCTGCAGCCCTGGCTTCCCCGCTCTTATAAAAGTATATACCGTAATTTTCGCTCCAAAACACGCACTTTTTTGCTCCTAGAAAGTAAGGGAAAATGCCTGTGCGTGTTAAGGAGCGAATGCACTCGACTGGATCCATGGCTGCCGTCAGTCAAGCAAAGCAAGCTTTGCTTGCTTTACAGCCAGGAGGAGGGGGAGGAGCCAAGGAGGGAGGGAGGGAGGGAAGGAGAGCCATGGCAGCAAAGCGGGCAGCAGCCGCTTACACGCGAGGAGGGACAGACGGGAGCCATAGGGAGCCGGAAAAGCGCCGCGTAGCCAGCAACAGCTGCTGCAGCCTCAGCTAGCAACGCTCTCTAAACGGAGCAATGAGGCTGCAGAGGGACGGCAGGGCACAGGAGGGCTCTGAGCCACGAGCGCAGTGAAAACCAGTAAAAAAGTTTTTAAAAAGGCTGCTGGGGACAGGAGGGCACGGGATGAGGGAGAGAGGGAAATTACGATTCTCCCAGCGTCTCAGCTGATCCGCTGAGCAGGACTTGGGTTGCAGGGGATTCGCCATTAGCTGCGTAAAGCAGCAAAGAGGGAGAGAAGGAGCAAAGTGGGAGAGGAAAGGAGCTGCTTACACTGCTGTAAGTGGCTGCTGTCTGGTTGGCTCCTTTAAAGCAACAGTGCTCTTTCCCTCCCCCCTCCCCTCTCAGCTCGCCGAAAAGCTCCTTTTCCACACACCCCACTCGAGCTCCTTCTCCCCTTAAATCCCTCTCCTGCATCATTAGCCACATCCTTCTCCACCCACCCCACGCCGTGTTCCTTCTCCCCTTAAATCCCTCTCCTGCATCATTAGCCACATCCTTCTCCACCCACCCCACGCGTGTTCCTTCTCCCCTTTAACGCTCGCCTGCATCATTAGCCACATCCTTCTCCACCCACCCCACGCGTGTTCCTTCTCCCCTTAAATCCCTCTCCTGCATCATTAGCCACATCCTTCTCTACACACCCCACGCGTGTTCCTTCTCCCCTTAAATCCCTCTCCTGCATCATTAGCCACATCCTTCTCCACCCACCCCACGCGTGTTCCTTCTCCCCTTTAACGCTCGCCTGCATCATTAGCCACATCCTTCTCTACACACCCCACGCGTGTTCCTTCTCCCCTTTAACGCTCGCCTGCATCATTAGCCACATCCTTCTCTACACACCCCACGCGTGTTCCTTCTCCCCTTAAATCCCTCTCCTGCATCATTAGCCACATCCTTCTCTACACACCCCACGCGTGTTCCTTCTCCCCTTAAATCCCTCTCCTGCATCATTAGCCACATCCTTCTCTACACACCCCACGCGTGTTCCTTCTCCCCTTAAATCCCTCTCCTGCATCATTAGCCACATCCTTCTCCACCCACCCCACGCGTGTTCCTTCTCCCCTTTAACCGCTCACCTGCATCATTAGCCACATCCTTCTCTACACACCCCACGCATGCTCCTTGTCCCTTGAATGCTTTTCCTTCCCTCCCTACTTAAAACGTGGTTACAAAGCACGGATCCACATGGATCCTCAGGATTTTTGCACTGGGTCACCCCAGGTTCACCATCAGATCACATAAAATGTCCATGGCTACAGCCTGCACCAAAAAAATCACGCACCCACTGTTTCATGGGGCTGCAATGGCACAAAAACGTGGTTACAAAGCATGGATCCACATGGATCCACAGGATTTTTGCATTGGGCTACCCCAAACTCACCGTCAGATCACGTTTGTGGCCACAGCATGAACCACAAAAATCATACATCCACTGTTTTGTTTAGAATATTTTTTTCTTGCTTTCCTCCTCTAAAAACTATGTGCGTGTTATGGTCAGGTGCGTGTTATAGAGCGGAAAATACGGTACTTCAAAGGATATTGTCAAAGTTTGGGTTTGTTGATGTCTGGCATTAATCTAGGGCCAGGCCTAAATTATTACTGCTAATTGGCATGTGGTTACCATCCCTCACTGCCCATGTAGAGCTGCATACATGTAGGGAGAGGGAGAATAATAATATTATAATAATTATACTCAGCCCATCTGGCTGGGTTCCCCCAGCCACTTTGGACGGACATTTGTCAGTGGACTGACAGCTGCGTTTTATCTGCTGCCCCTCCTGTTCCAGGTTTTGTATGGTTTACTCAGAAGTGCCAAATTTCAGTGAGCCAAACCCAGAATATGTCGCCCAGCAGTCGCAAAACAAAAATGTGAGTATCAGGATTCTTAACTAACGCTGGGGGGTGAAATGAATTTTGAAGGAAGAGCTTCCTGACCCAATCAGAAGGGGTGTTTATGCCTCCCTTTACAGCAGGGAAATGCCAAATTCTCGTGACCACCCCACACTCAGTGCAGCTCTCCTCTATACACCCAATGCTTATTTTTTGTATTTGCTCTCTCTTGCATTTCTCTTGCCCTGAGAAAATGGAAGGCATGCTTGCATAGAATCTCTCCCCCTGCCCTCCATAAAGGTAAAGGGACCCCTGACCATTAGGTCCAGTCGTGGTTGACTTGGGGTTGCGGCACTCATCTTGCTTTATTGGCGAGGGAGCCGGCGTACAGCTTCCGGGTCATGTTGGCCAGCATGACAAAGCTGCTTCTGGCGAACCAGAGCAGTGCACAGGAAACACTGTTTACCTTCCCGCCAGGCGGTACCTATTGATCTACTTGCACTTGACATGCTTTCGAACTGCTAGGCTGGCAGGAGCAGGGCCGAGGCAACGCGAGCTCACCCCGCTGCGGGGATTCCAACGCCGACCTTCTGATCGGCAATTCCTAGGCTTCTGTGGTTTAACCCACAGTGCCACCCACGTCCCGTCTGCCCTCCATAACTTACTACAAATGCATCATTATTTTAATTACTCTGTAGGATAAATACCCCTCTGTTGCATTTCAAAAGCATCCACTAATTTGTAATCTAAGCAAACGCTTTCTACCTCCCTTACAATGATTCCCATTTCCCCCCCTAGGATGTTTCTATGAAAGACCCACCATTCCTGAGCTTTTATGCTCGAGTAATTATATGAGTAATATTGGCTTGGGTTGATGGTGCTTGTAGGTGGGGGTCTTCAGTTGTTCCCACGTGCTGCTGCCTTTAACGGAAACTTCTCTTGAGTGAACTTGCACAGCTGCTGCTACCCATTTCTGAAATTGTTTTTTCTTTCTTTTCAATATGTATGGACATTAGATTACCCATAGCCTGGGGAAAAAAACATGCATGGGCTGGGGAGGGCGGTGTATAAATAAAATTTATTATTATTATTGCCACCAGGCCGGGTTACCAAGACCAAGGATGGCCATGAAGTGCGGACGTGTAAAGTAGCCGACAAAACTGGCAGCATAAACATCTCTGTGTGGGACGATGTTGGCAACCTCATCCAACCAGGAGACATCATCCGACTCACCAAAGGGTATGGACCACCTTTCCAATAGGAGTGCGATAGGGAGAAAGTGGGGAAATTGGATGTTCCTTTCTCTAAGTGGAGCTTTAGGCCCCAGCCCCAGAAGTAACAGGTAGTTGGGCCCATTTTAGGCTTTTTCAGGTATACGCCTAAGATCACATAGTATAAGAATAAGAATAATAAGAATAATATATAATCCAGGTGGGGGCAGCTCACCTGCTTAATCTTTTCTGTCCACATTCTTAGCCCTTATCTTAGCTCTTATCTTCCTTGCACAATACACATCCCACAATATAATAATAATAACAATAATAATAATATATTATTATTATTATTATTATTATATTATTATTAATTATTATTATTAATTTATTTATAATACATACATACATACATACCCTGCCCATCTGGTTGGGTTTCCCCAGCCACTTCTGTGCAGCTCCCAACAGAACATTAAAAAACTTCCCTAAACAGGGCTGCCTTCAGATGTCTTCTAAAAGTCAGATAGTTATTTATTTCCTTGACATCTGATGGGAGGGCATTCCACAGGGCGGGCACCACTACTGAGAAGGTCCTCTGCCTGGTTCCCTGTAACCTCACTTCTCACAGTGAGGGAACCGCCAGGAAGGCCCTCGGCGCTGGACCTCTGGGCTGAATGATGGGGGTGGAGACGCTCCTTCGGGTATACTGGGCCAAGTCCATTTAGGGCTTTAAACGTCAGCACCAACACTTTGAGTTGTGCTTGGAAACATACTGGCAGCCAATGTAGGTCTTTCAGGACTGGTGTTAGATGGGCTCGGCGGCCACTCCCAGTCACCAGTCTAGCTGCCACATTCTGGATTAATTGTAGTTTCTGGGTCACCTTCAAAGGTAGCCCCACATAGAGTGCACTGCAATAGTCCAAGCAGGAGATAACCAGAGCATGCACCACTCTGGCAAGACAGTCTGCAGGCAGGTAGGGTCTCAGCCAGCATTACCAGATGGAGCTGGTAGACAGCTGCCCTGGACACAGAACTGACCTGTACTTCTGTGGACAGTTGTGAGTCCAAAATAACTCCCAGGCTGTGCACCTGGTCCTTCAGCGGCAAGTTACCCCATTCAGGAGCGTAGGAAGTCACCTTGAACCAAGTCAGGCCCTTGGTCCATCTGTCTGAGTCCTGTCTGTGCTGCCTGGTAGCAGTGGCGTAGCGTGGGTTGTCAGCACCCGGGGCAAGGCAAGTAATTTGCGCCCCCTAACCCATGGATTTGCGCCCCCTAACCCTAACCCCCAGATGTTGCGCCCGGTGCGGCCGGCCCCCCCTGCACCCCCCCACGCTACGCCACTGCCTGGTAGTGGCTTTCCAGGGTTTCATGTGTTTAAACTAATTCAGAATGAATTTCAGCGCTGGCTCCAGGATCTTGGATGGGGAGAGCACAGTTTAATCTGGGAGGATGTGCAGAGAATTATCCTCTTGACCTGCCTGTGATCTCCTTGGGTGTTCTGTGCGAAATGGGAATAGCAGTACTGCTGGTGTGACCCAACTTTGCCAGCTCCAATTAGTTAAACTGAGTGTTTCTTTTTTATTATTATTATTTGTTTGATACCCAGCAGCTGAAGGGCAACATTCTGAACTTCATCCAGAGGAAGTAAAAAGTGCTTAACAGTGCAACCCTATACCTGTCTACTCAGAAGTAAGTTCCACTGAGTTCAGTGGAGCTTACTCCCAGGTAAGTGGGTATAGGATTGCAGCTTAAGGCTTCTTAGCTGTAATGAGACTTAAAAATGTGCAGATTATGCCCAATAGTATCCAGAAATGCACAGAAACTCAATTGACTTAACTGAGAAGACAGGTGGACTATTTTATACTGAAATGTGGGGTAACAAATTTTATAAATAGAACAATATGCATCATACAACTGGAGAACAACTTTATGCGTCTGTGCTTCAAGGTACCCCCAAATCGGGTATTTTGTTTTGAGCTGGTGCATTTTCCACCTATAAGAGGAATGTTGTGCTGTTCCTAACCATGGGTCCCTCTCTCCTAGGTATGCATCTGTTTTCAAAGGCTGCCTGACCTTATACACTGGACGTGGAGGAGACTTGCAGAAAGTTGGAGAGTAAGGCCTGTAATTGGCTTATGACAATATTGCTTTTTTGGAACTGGAGGTTTGGTACATGGTTGATTTTTTTTTAAGTTCAGACACACAGCCAGATTCCCACCAAAGGATAGTATTTGCTCCAGGGGCTATCACCACCATAAGTCAAGGAGGCAGCTTCCAAGTTAGAAAAGACTGGTGACTACTTTGCATGCTGACCGCACCATAATAAACGGTTCAGGCTACAGTTAGCAAATGTATTGAACATTGAGAGGCATTGCTTGCATAAGAATCTCTCCCCCCTGCCCTCCATAAAGGTAAAGGGACCCCTGACCATTAGGTCCAGTCGTGGTTGACTGTGGGGTTGCGGCACTCATCTTGCTTTATTGGCCGAGGGAGCCGGCGTACAGCTTCCGGGTCATGTGGCCAGCATGACAAAGCTGCTTCTGGCGAACCAGAGCAGTGCACGGAAACACTGTTTACCTTCCCGCCAGAGCGGTACCTATTGATCTACTTGCACTTTGACATGCTTTCGAACTGCTAGGCTGGCAGGAGCAGGGACCGAGCAACGCGAGCTCACCCCGCTGCGGGGATTCCAACCGCCGACCTTCTGATCGGCAAGTCCTAGGCTCTGTGGTTTAACCCACAGTGCCACCCACGTCCCGTCTGCCCTCCATAACTGTACTACAAATGCTCATTATTTTTTAATTAACTCTGTAGGATAAATACCCCTCTGTGCATTTCAAAAGGCATCCACTAATTTGTAATCTAAGGCAAACGCCTTTCTACCTCCCTTACAAATGATTCCCATTTCCCCCCCTAGGATGTTTCTATGAAAAGACCCACCATTCCTGAGCTTTTATGCTCGAGTAATTATATGAGTAATATTGGCTGGGGTTGATGGTGGCTTGTAGGTGGGGGTCTTCAGGTTGTTCCCACGTGCTGCTGCCTTTAACGGAAACTCTCTTGAGTGAACTTGCACAGCTGCTGCTACCCATTTCTGAAATTGTTTTTCTTCTTCTTTTCAATAGTATGGACATTAGATTACCCATAGCCTGGGGAAAAAACATGCATGCTGTCAGGTTTTGATTTTGACAGCTTGAGATTTTATTTTACCTTCCCTCCTGCAGCCCTGGCTTCCCCGCTCTTATAAAAGTATATACCGTAATTTTCGCTCCAAAACACGCACTTTTTTGCTCCTAGAAAGTAAGGGAAAATGCCTGTGCGTGTTAAGGAGCGAATGCACTCGACTGGATCCATGGCTGCCGTCAGTCAAGCAAAGCAAGCTTTGCTTGCTTTACAGCCAGGAGGAGGGGGAGGAGCCAAGGAGGGAGGGAGGGAGGGAAGGAGAGCCATGGCAGCAAAGCGGGCAGCAGCCGCTTACACGCGAGGAGGGACAGACGGGAGCCATAGGGAGCCGGAAAAGCGCCGCGTAGCCAGCAACAGCTGCTGCAGCCTCAGCTAGCAACGCTCTCTAAACGGAGCAATGAGGCTGCAGAGGGACGGCAGGGCACAGGAGGGCTCTGAGCCACGAGCGCAGTGAAAACCAGTAAAAAAGTTTTTAAAAAGGCTGCTGGGGACAGGAGGGCACGGGATGAGGGAGAGAGGGAAATTACGATTCTCCCAGCGTCTCAGCTGATCCGCTGAGCAGGACTTGGGTTGCAGGGGATTCGCCATTAGCTGCGTAAAGCAGCAAAGAGGGAGAGAAGGAGCAAAGTGGGAGAGGAAAGGAGCTGCTTACACTGCTGTAAGTGGCTGCTGTCTGGTTGGCTCCTTTAAAGCAACAGTGCTCTTTCCCTCCCCCCTCCCCTCTCAGCTCGCCGAAAAGCTCCTTTTCCACACACCCCACTCGAGCTCCTTCTCCCCTTAAATCCCTCTCCTGCATCATTAGCCACATCCTTCTCCACCCACCCCACGCGTGTTCCTTCTCCCCTTAAATCCCTCTCCTGCATCATTAGCCACATCCTTCTCCACCCACCCCACGCGTGTTCCTTCTCCCCTTTAACGCTCGCCTGCATCATTAGCCACATCCTTCTCCACCCACCCCACGCGTGTTCCTTCTCCCCTTAAATCCCTCTCCTGCATCATTAGCCACATCCTTCTCTACACACCCCACGCGTGTTCCTTCTCCCCTTAAATCCCTCTCCTGCATCATTAGCCACATCCTTCTCCACCCACCCCACGCGTGTTCCTTCTCCCCTTTAACGCTCGCCTGCATCATTAGCCACATCCTTCTCTACACACCCCACGCGTGTTCCTTCTCCCCTTTAACGCTCGCCTGCATCATTAGCCACATCCTTCTCTACACACCCCACGCGTGTTCCTTCTCCCCTTAAATCCCTCTCCTGCATCATTAGCCACATCCTTCTCTACACACCCCACGCGTGTTCCTTCTCCCCTTAAATCCCTCTCCTGCATCATTAGCCACATCCTTCTCTACACACCCCACGCGTGTTCCTTCTCCCCTTAAATCCCTCTCCTGCATCATTAGCCACATCCTTCTCCACCCACCCCACGCGTGTTCCTTCTCCCCTTTAACCGCTCACCTGCATCATTAGCCACATCCTTCTCTACACACCCCACGCATGCTCCTTGTCCCTTGAATGCTTTTCCTTCCCTCCCTACTTAAAACGTGGTTACAAAGCACGGATCCACATGGATCCTCAGGATTTTTGCACTGGGTCACCCCAGGTTCACCATCAGATCACATAAAATGTCCATGGCTACAGCCTGCACCAAAAAAATCACGCACCCACTGTTTCATGGGGCTGCAATGGCACAAAAATGTGGTTACAAAGCATGGATCCACATGGATCCACAGGATTTTTGCATTGGGCTACCCCAAACTCACCGTCAGATCACGTTTGTGGCCACAGCATGAACCACAAAAATCATACATCCACTGTTTTGTTTAGAATATTTTTTTCTTGCTTTCCTCCTCTAAAAACTATGTGCGTGTTATGGTCAGGTGCGTGTTATAGAGCGGAAAATACGGTACTTCAAAGGATATTGTCAAAGTTTGGGTTTGTTGATGTCTGGCATTAATCTAGGGCCAGGCCTAAATTATTACTGCTAATTGGCATGTGGTTACCATCCCTCACTGCCCATGTAGAGCTGCATACATGTAGGGAGAGGGAGAATAATAATATTATAATAATTATACTCAGCCCATCTGGCTGGGTTCCCCCAGCCACTTTGGACGGACATTTGTCAGTGGACTGACAGCTGCGTTTTATCTGCTGCCCCTCCTGTTCCAGGTTTTGTATGGTTTACTCAGAAGTGCCAAATTTCAGTGAGCCAAACCCAGAATATGTCGCCCAGCAGTCGCAAAACAAAAATGTGAGTATCAGGATTCTTAACTAACGCTGGGGGGTGAAATGAATTTTGAAGGAAGAGCTTCCTGACCCAATCAGAAGGGGTGTTTATGCCTCCCTTTACAGCAGGGAAATGCCAAATTCTCGTGACCACCCCACACTCAGTGCAGCTCTCCTCTATACCCCAATGCTTATTTTTATATTGTATTTTGCTACAGGCAGTTGTTGCATTTCCTTGCCCTGAGAAAATGGAAGCTACGGTGGGTGTTAAGGATTATACACCTTAATCTTTCAGGAAGCAAGCCTGTAAGGTCTCAGGTGCAGAACCTGGGAGGATTCCTGTATCTTAAGAGAAGAGCGGAAAGCACAAATTTTACCCATCACAGTGGGGGGGTGAAGCTGCAAAGAGGAGGGTTTTTCCATTTGGTGTAACTCTTAATGGTACAGGGAGGTCTTGTCAGTTACGGATTTGGCAATCCTTCTGGATTGCCTTACTGGATCTGACTCGAGAGTGAGTTATGATGACTGGGATGGAATCGACTTCCTTAGCATATAGATGTGCTCCCTCTCTCTCTCCAGGGTGCTAAATAACATCTTCTGAGATCCAATTTGCCTAGATGAGTGTGGACACATTACAAGTCTTTTGGGGAAACGGTAACCGCTCTAGCCCTGCTCCCTCATCTGATAACCTCTTGTTTTCTGCACAATTGACTTTTAAAACATTTTTCTCTTCCTTCTCAGGCTGTGTACATATCATATGTTTAAACCACATGCACCAACCCTCAAGAATATTGTAGTTTAAGGGTGCTGTGAGAGGTAAACTACAATTACCAGGATTCCTTGGGGGAAGTCGTGTACTTTAAATATACAGTGGTACCTCAGGTTGCATACGCTTCAGGTTACATTCGCTTCAGGTTACAGACTCCGCTAACCCAGAAATAGTACCTCGGGTTAAGAACTTTGCTTCAGGGTGAGAACAGAAATCGTGCTCCGGCGGCAGCAGGAGGCCCCATTAGCTAAAGTGGTGCTTCAGGTTAAGCACAGTTTCAGATTAAGTACGGATCTCCGGAACGAATTAAGTACTTAACCTGAGGTACCACTGTATGGTGTGTACACAGCTGTAGTTAGGTTTGATTTCAGCATACTTCTGTAAACCTTCCCCCCGCACTGCCCATGGCTGTTGTATCTGTGGAACTTCTGTATATGTCAAAAAAATTCAGTAGACTTTTGCTTTCTTCGACAGACACAGAATGACAGCGCAGCGCCCACAGCCTCCCAAACCACAGCAGGGCCTTCCACGTCATCAGCAGGTAGGCAGCGAATGATCTTGCACTTCCTAGTACCATTGAGCGAAACGGATACCTGCATGTGAGAGAAGCACAAGTTGTGCATGTTAGGATTTTGTGCCTCGTGGTATTATTTAGCTTGGAAATGGCCAACATCTGACTCATGGCCTATCTAAGGGTCAAATTGGACATGGCAGTGGATTGTACCCAATGTGATATTACATGAATGTTCTGTCAGTGCAAAGATTTATGCTTCTGCAATGGAATGTTATCCCCTTCTCTCCCCGCCCCCAAATTGTGCCTCCTAAATCTGTCCTAGCGGTTCCTCAAACCCTCTGGGGCAAATTTGACGAGGGTGCAGGGCGCACACAATGGAACGTGGCCGGGGTGGGGAGCCACACTGCATAGACAAAACCCTTGCACTGACAGGTTTCGGCAGTTGAATACTGCCCATTAAATAAATGTTCGTGTTTAATGTACAGTTTTGTGTTGGTTTTTTAATTCAAATTGTATCAATGGAGTGGGGAGCAGTTGCTAATAATTTCTGGAATTACAGCAAGCTGTGGGGGGTTGATTTAACTCTTTCCTATTGCATCCCTAAGGAAAATCTTTCCTTTGAAGCTAGTACTCTTTTCTTTTTAAATTGGCAACTGGTAATTTTAAATTAAAACCAAAACTAGGTACGTTATTTGTTTATTGAATCTGTTACTTATTTATTGGATCAGTCCTACAGCTTCTAAAAACAGCATCTGTCAGCAGAAACGTCCTGACCGTATATTCTACCACAGTGTTGCACAAAGGCTTCCCTTCTCTAAAATGAAATAAATACTTCGCTCTTTCTCTCCCTCCTGTAAAGCTAGCTGTGAGAGCTGATCTATATAGTGTTGTGTATTCCACACACTTGAATGCATCTGGCATTCAACTAAAAACGCCACATTTCCCATCTGCTAGTGTGCTGGTCCCAGGGGGGATAAGGTACTATTACCGTAGCCCAAGATCAGTCCAGAGTCTCTAGCAGGGTAGACGATCACTAGATGAGACGCGAGGTCCGAGACAGGGAGCCGGGCGGGGTAACAGGAACGCTGGTAGGGCAGAAGCAGGAAGCCAGGCGAGGAACAGGAACACTGGTAGGGCAGAAGCAGGAGTCCAGGCGAGGAACAGGAACACTGGTAGGGCAGAAGCAGGAAGCCAGGCGAGGAACAGGAACACTGGTAGGGCAGAAGCAGGAGTCCAGGCGAGGAACAGGAACACCGGATAGTCAGGAACAGGAAGCCGGGCGAGGAACAGGCACACTGGGAGTGCAGATCAAGGACTGGGTAAAGCAGGTACTCCACAACGACGTTGCTCCCGCAACCTGGGACCGGGCTGCCTGACCTTTATCTTCTTCTAAGGCCGGAGGCGGTCCCGGCCCCCAGAAGCCCCGCCTCTCTTGGCCTTAAGGCGAGCACTCCTCCTGGGAGACACCAGTTCCCTTCGCCTCTCTGCCCTAAGCCTCTGCAGATCAGGAGAGGCCGAAGGGTTACTGGGCCCCGGGGGAGGCTCACCTGTAGCCACTGAGTCTTCCAGCACCTCTGGGGCCAGAATGGTTTCACCTGGTGCCTGCTCTTGAGGTTCCTCAGCATCTAGGCCTTGCCCCAGTTCAGCCGGCCCTGGAGGCGGGGACTCCTGTGCCGGCTGGGATTCCTCCGGATCGCTCTCAGACTCGGAATCCCAGGCCATCACAGCTAGCTACTTTAGTTCCTAAAACAACAAGTAGAAGACTTTACTATATCCCAGCAGGAATACCAATGGATTTGTTGGCTCCATCTCTGTGGGTTCCAGTAAGGTTTTTCTGTTCTCCTCCTGGGAGCCAGCGTGGTGTAGTAGTTAAGAGCGGTGGACTTGTAATCTGGTGAACCGGGTTCGATTCCCCGCTCCTCCACATGCAGCTGCTGGGTGATCTTTGGCTAGTCACACTTCTCTGAAGTCTCTCAGCCTCACTCACCTCACAGAGTGTTTGTTGTGGGGGAGGAAGGGAAAGGAGAATGTTAGCAGCTTTGAGACTCCTTAGGGTAGTGATAAAGCAAGATATCAAATCCAAACTCTTATTCTTCTTCTTTCCCCCCCCCCCCCCTTTCTTTTAGTCACTGACAACCAGAATGGCAACGGGTTGATCACCACTGGATCTGGCAGCTCCACCCACACACCTAGTGCCCCCTCTCACCCCACCAGCGGCCGCATCACCCGAAGCCAGCCCAACCACCAGAGCGGAAGCTCGTCAGGGTCGTCCTCTAACCCAGTCAGCAATGGCAAAGAGACACGGCGAAGCAGCAAGAGATAACAAGCACAGGATTTGGGGTTGCTTTTCTGTCCCTTCCCTCCACTGCCTGCTGTGTTAACCTTTGCCTCCTGCTGATCAGCTTTTGAGGCAGAGCGGCTGACACCGAGAAGAGACGGGTGGCCAGGCTATGGATGCAGAGACTCTGAATTGTACGAAACCAATTTGTATTTTAGACACCGAAATCTCCTTTTTAACATGCGATGCCAAGTACCGGGTGAGGGTCTTGAGTGCGTTTATGCTGATAATCCCAGGTCAAACTTGTTCTTTTCAGGATTCCTTGCAGGAAATTAACATGTCTGCCTGGCCGCCTTTTAACCTGATTGCGTTTCATTGCTCCCTTCTAACTTCCCAGAGGGCATGTTCCTGTGCTACAGGCGCATGCGTCCTTGATTTTAACCCCCTTCTAAAAAACGAAGTCTAGAACCCTTAAAAGAGGGGTTTGAAAGATGTGACCCTTCAAGGGCTGTTGGAGTCCAATTCCCATCAGTCCCAGCCAGTATGGCCAATGGTTGGGATGATGGGAGTTGTCCATCCACATCTGAAAGTCCACAGGTTCCCCATCTCTGGTTTAAAACTATTTATTGTGGACTTGTGACGAAACCTATGAAACAACTCTAGACCGAGTGGCTTTGTTAATTATTATTGGGGGCTAAATGACACGTTGTGTTTCAGTTTCCATAAGGCTCTTGAGGTTCATGGGATGTTTTGTAAGGAGGAGGCGTACCCAGACAAACAAAACAGAATTTATGCCACTTTTTCCGAGCCAAACTGAGTGACTATCCAGAACCGGCCAGTGAGATGGCACTGTTGCCCCAAACATATTCTTGATTGATATTGTAGCTCACAGCATCCTGTAGCTAGGTTTCTGTAGATATAATGATGGTGTTAGATTTAGATGTGTGGCTAAATTGAGAAGCTTTTAAACAACAACAACCTCAAAAAAAACCCACACATGCCCAAATCTAAATTATGAAAAATGAGGCTTCGGTTATATTTTCATTTCTATTATGGTGCAGAAAACTTTAAATAGATTTGTGTTTTTATTCCAGCGTATCTCAGCATGGTTGGCGTCCAAGGCTGGCAGTGTTGGGCATATTTTCTGAGGCCTGTCAGGCTCACAAGCCTGCCAGCCTGGTTCTCATTTGGTAGAAGGCCCAGCCAGGGTCAGAGATGTAAGGTGTGTTTGCCCCTAAACTGGTCCAGACCCTGTGTGAAGTAAGAAAGCTACTCAGACTACCCCCTGTAACCTCTTTTGGGGTTAATCATTGCTGTTCTCTATGTCCTTGTTCCTCTCTCCTAACATTTAAGGGGCCTATTAGGTTCAAGGGCCCCAGAAAGCTATTGATTGCCCTGATTTCAGTTAGCTAGAAGGAATCCGCAGAATAGTCTGCTTTGTAAATGGAACACTAAAAGTTTTGAAAGGAAGATAAGGTGGCATTTAAACACTACAAAACCATTTTGCCAAACTTAAAACAATTTCTCGAAAGCCAATAAAATGTTCAGAAGAAACATTTTCTCTCTCTTTTTTGAAGTGCTATTTTATCTAGCAGTCTGGGTCCTTGTCTCCTTTTCTCTCTTTCCTTCTCTTCTCCACTCTAGAGTAATTGCTTGAATTTCTCAACTGGTTGTTTTTTTTAAAGCTACGTCACTGTTGTCTAAAATCTGATGTGACAGTTTGAATGTACTATTCATGAATGTTTGGGGAATAAATATTTTAATCCTCTTTACAATGTGAATGTCTCTGATCGGAGAAAATGGGTCATTCCATGGAACAATGGATGTGAGTGCAAAACTGGAAGTAACTTTCTTCTCGTTTGCTTACAAACGTAGGACAAAATGACATAATTGTGTAGATAACAATACCTCAGTAAATCTAACCGACCTTTGCCAGCTTTGTTGAGATTGTGATTACACAAAGTAAGGTAATATGAATTACCCTTTTCTAAACTCCCTGCCTACTACCCAGTTTGTGAATAAGGCTGCAGTCCTAATCAGTTTCCTGGGAATAAGTACCACTGAACACAATGAAACCTATTTCTTTTATATCTGATCTCTGGTTATATTTGAAGCACGGTCACACTTGCAACGTGGAAATCCTGGACTTTGTCATTGCAGTGACAGATGTGGACCTGAGAGACCATCTAAGAACATAGGAAGCACCTTTTATACTAAGTCAGACAATTGGTGTATCAATCTTTGTGTTGCCTAAGTACTCAAACTAGCCAGCAGCAATCCAGGGTTTCAGATAGGGAGACATTCCCAGTCTTAACCTGGGACCTGCATGCAAAGCAGAAGATGCTCTACTATTGAGCTATGGCACTTTCCAGGGGCAGACTTTGGTGCCTGGAGTGAGGACAAAATTTACCACCATAAATATTTATTTGGCACCCTCACGCCTTCCGTTCTGCGCATGCTCTCAAGTGCACTATGCCATAGTTGCAGCAACTCAGTTGTCTATCTGACCATGGCCTAACTTTGAGTAGGTACATTTATAAATATAGGTTTTAGTAAAACAACTATTTTTATTATTATTATACGCCCTCTTTGCTTGCCTTCTGTGGGGGAACTGCCCGCACCACCCTAAATCTGATGCTGGCACTTCCCTATTCTTTTTTAAAAAAATAATTTCCCCCCATTTTATTTTATTTTTATATATATTTTTATAGAAAAATTGTAACAACCAAATTATCAATCAATATATCTGTTTACATTTCCCTCCCCCCTCCCTCCCTCTCTCCCCCCCAGGACTTCCCTCAGCTCCTCTCTCTGGTTTCTTTGTGCATATTATCCTCTGCATATTGTAAAATTGTACATGCCATTGCCTTATTTATCATATTCAACAAATATTCTATTTTAAATTAATTCAAGTTACATGTTAATTGTGAGACACATTCAACATTGTACGTAACATACATTATTTCTACAAATTCCCCACATCTAACCCTATAACCACCTCCCCTTTTACCCAAATACAGTGGTACCTCGCAAGACGAATGCCTCGCAAGACGAAAAACGCGCAAGACGAAAGAGTTTTCCGTTTTTTGAGTCGTTCCGCAAGACGAATTTCCCTATGGGCTTGCTTCGCAAGTTCTTGGGAGTTTGTTTCCTTTTTCTTAAAGCCGCTAAGCCATTAATAGCCGCTAATAGCCGCTAAGCCGCTAATAGCCGTGCTTCGCAAGACGAAAAAACCGCAAGACGAAGAGACTCGCGGAACGGATTAATTTCGTCTTGCGAGGCACCACTGTACCCATGTGACTTCTTTCACCCACATGCGTGATATCCAACTTGTTACTTAAACCCCCCCCCCAATAACTGTGTTCATTTTTGTTCATTAGAATGATCATTCATCTATTAAAAACATAGCTTCTTAACTTAATGGGTTCAATCTATACTTATCCATAAATTTCTGATAGAATGATTTTGTACAATATATTCTTCAACACGTTTCCATTCCTTTCTTAATTTTTGTTTTGATTGCATTCTGATTGACGCTGTCATCTTGGCTAGTTCAATATATTCACAAATTTTAGTTTGCCACCCTAACATAATTTTTATTTGATTTTAAAAGTATATTCTTGTCCTTTGAGGTGAAGATCCTTTTATTGCCTCATTCCCCTCCTCGGGAGTAAAAAAAGGACAGATGACCTTAGGAAATAAATGAGAAATCCAGGCCTTTGCACAGCTGTGACTGGACAAGAGTAAAACCAGGAGTTAATCAATTTGTCTTGTGGGTGGGAGAGTGATTTGTATGTTTATTAGTTCCTTTAAAATTCCTCTTTAAAATGCATATACTGTAAACTCTTATTGTTTATCTCCATGTTACCAATGGGTGTGTGGGTAGACCCTCCAAGTGTCCGTTTTCCAGGGACAGTCCCCCAGATTTATAAAGGCTGTCCCGTTTTCCGATTTGATCCTGAGATGTCCCGCTTATCCCTAGGACACCCCTATTTTCATCTGAGAAATGTTGGAGGGTATGGTGTGATGTCTCTATTTGCATCGGAGAAATGTTGGAGGGTATGTGACCCCCTGAGCCAAGGAGATAAGTAACTATTGAAATGTTGAAATTGAATATTGAAATACTTTATTGTCACTTGTACAACTTGTATACAGTGAGATTACACAAGCACCCCCCACTCAGCTCTCTTAGTCTTATTCCCCTCCTTTACTGATGCACACCCACCAAACCCGAAAGTCAGTTGCCCTGTTGTTATCTTTTCGTTCAGCAGCCTAACAGCCCACGGATAGAAGCTATTCTTTACCCTGTTGGTGCGACTAATCCTGCTTCTATATCTTCTACCTGAGGGCAGGAGATCAAGAAAGTTCCGGCCAGGGTGAGAATCATCCCTGAAAATTTTCCTTACTCTCCTGAGGCAACGTTCTTCCGCTATTTCATCCACTGGATTCACGGGACAGCCCATAATATCTTGTGCTGTATTCACCACCCTCTGTAGACACTTCCTATCAGATGATGTCAAACCAGCATACCACACCGTGATGCAGTATGAAAGGACACTTTCTATTGTTGGCCGGTAGAAGGAGATCATCAAATGTTGATTGACATTGTTGTTCTGCAAGACTCTGAGATGGAGTCTCTGTTGGGCTTTCTTAACCACCTGGGTTGTATTTATTTTCCAAGTAAGGTCTTCACTGAGATAAACTCCTAGGAATTTAAAGGAAGAGACTCTCTTCACACAGCCCTCCCCGATGTACAGTGGGCTAGTTCTCCTCTCTTCCTCCGAAAGTCCAACACCATCTCCTTTGTCTTGTGATATTAAGGTGCAAGTTGTTCCCTAGGCACCATGTAGATATTTTTTGGACGTCCCCTCTATACGCTGATTCGTCTCAACCTGTTATTAAACCCATTATGGTGGTGTCATCTGCAAACTTAATAATTGCAGTAGATGGGTCAGATGATACACAATCGTATGTATACAATGAATACTATACAATGAATATACTATACAACCACTGGAAAGTTTTTTAATGTTTAACGTTTAATTATGTTTTTATATTTTTTGGAAGTCTTCCAGAGTGGCTGGGGCAAGCCGTTCTGATGGGTGGGAAATAATAATAATAATAATAATAATAATAATAATAATAATAATAATAATAATAATAATAGTGGGATAGGACATCTCTATTTTCTGGTCCATGGGGTCACGAAGAGTCGGACACGACTAAACGACTAAACAACAACAAATTTTCATCGGGAAAATGTTGGAAAGTACGGCTTTGTGAGGCTGAGCCTGCGCAATGAGTTCACCACAATCTTGCTCTAGCCTGTTGAAGGCAGACACGTTGGACTTTTAAATTTACCCACGCTCGGTAGGCTCCCTGGGGGCGTGTGTCACTCTACCCTTTTTCGCAACTCTATGGGACGGGGCTTTAGAAGGCGTTCCTAGCTCCACGCTTCCCGGGGAGCAAAAGAGCCACGCCCACTCTGGCCCCTCGCACTGCTGGGGGACGTGACGTTTCGAGACAGCCCCTCCCACCTCGCCCGGCAGCCTGCCGCGCTGTTCGCCACGCGAGCCCGCGGCGGGGAGGCGGGGGCGCGGCCCTCGCCGAAGGGTCCTTGCGAGAGTCTGAGGTGTCCTTGGCAAGCGCCTGCTCCGAAGAGCAGGGCCAGGGTTTCCAGGGAGGCCGCGATGAAAGGCTGCTGATACGGGGAGAGAGGTATCATTTTTTAGCGTCCTCTTTTTGTGTGTGTGCCGCGGCCGGTGGAGTGGGATTCCGATCAGGCGGACGTTGGTCACCCCTAGAGGAAGATTTGGAGGCGCTCGCTGCTGCAGCCGGCGCCGAGTGGTGGGGTTGGGGCGGGCTCGGGTGGCGTCGTGGGAGGAGGCGAAGCCGGGCGAGGGAAGCCGAGGGAGTACCTATGGCGGGTACCATTTCCACGCCGGTGTAGTTGGCAGGAGTCGGGAAGGCAACGGGTCAGACCTCTTCCCTGCCACGCACCACACACTGGGAGGCTTCAGGGAAGCCGGCCACCGTCCCCTCGCCTCCGGTCCCCCGCCTACAGAACGCGGGAGGGAGCGACCTACCTTGCAAGGTCGTCGTTCGCGTGTCCAAGGTGAAGTACCACTTCGATACGATACGATAATCTTTATTGTCATTGTCCCATACAACGAAAAAATCTACATCAGACATTCAAATAATAATAATAATAATAATAATAATAATAATAATAATAATTTATTATTTATACCCCAGCCACTCTGGGCGGCTTCCAACAAAACACTAAAATACAATACAGTGGTACCTCGGGTTACATATGCTTCAGGTTACATACGCTTCAGGTTACACACTCCGCTAACCCAGAAATAGTGCTTCAGGTTAAGAACTTTGCTTCAGGATAAGAAGAGAAATTGGGCTGCAGCGGCAGCAGGAGGCCCCATTAGCTAATTCCGGAACGAATTAAGTACTTAACCCGAGGTACCACTGTAACCTATTAAACATTAAAAGCTTCCCTAAACAGGGCTGCCTTTGGATGTCTTCTAAAACAGTGTTTCCCAAACGTTTTTGGGCAACGGCACACCTGTTTACCGGAAAAAAATCTCGCGGCACACCACCATTAAAGCCCCGCCCCGTGACGTCAGCGCGCAGCGTCACGCCGGGAGGGACGCACAAAAGTCAAAGTTTTTTCCCTCCCCGCGAAGCAACGAAAGAGGGCGCCTCAACACCGGGAGGTGGGCAGGGAGCGGGGGGAGCGGCCAGACGGGCTCCGCTG